TTTATTTGATATCTTTAAGTAGACGATTTTATTTAATTCTCTAGGAATGCACTATAAACTTCAATCTAAGTATTGAACTTCTGTACAAATGGAAACGAAAAAGGCCAACGTAAACGACGTAATTTAATTGAATACTTGAAAGAAGTGCATTCACAGCGACGAATGCAATGTCGTAAACGCTGAAGTAGAACACANAATCCACTGACACTTTTCGATTTTAATGCCAGGAAAGGAATGCGTTCTGTAGGATCATATATGATAATTTTTATTCAAGTAATGATGACACATTCGTTTTATTCACTAATGTGCAGTAAAAATTGCTAAAGCTACATGTGCTTTTTATGATTAAATCAGACTATTTTCCTACAAAAACCTACGATGCGTGAATACCAGTAGGCAAACCTGCCTCCTGAATTTGTTTACATTTGTTTTTGTTTTTCGCGTTGATGTTTTATAGCAGATTGTCTCTCAGTTCACATATAAGTCCCATAGCTCGATCCTCTAACATCAAATTCTATCAATATTAAATTCCCAATTTTGGGTAATTTGAATACTGGTATACGTCCCGATCAGGTCATAATGTGATCGGTGTTGCATGAGCTTAGAATGATCCAACGGTCAGGTTAATTTTTATTTCGGGGCCACTATTTTGTATTGGTCAAACGATAAATCAATTAAATTGGTATATTTGTCATTGCATGTGTGAAACAATTAAATTAATAATGAAAATATTTAATTCATTTTCAGAGAATGAAATAAATAGAACATCATTTTAAGGTATTATTTTACATTCAACTTGAGTGATTCTTATGTCAATCTTTATTGTGAAGTGAGTGATTATCATCATTATTGTTGTTATTTATTTAAAATGAATACACCTATAGTGGACCTACATTTGAATTAAATTTTTATATTTAGTCTAATTGGTTCTATAGTATCGAATTTTCTAAGTTCATAAAATATTATATCAATTATTGAGCCCCAAAACATAAAAAATTCGAAAACTGTACGAATGCAATCTCTTTGCATTTAACAAATGTATTTTAAAGCCGCTAACTCACAGAAAAATTGAACGCTTTTTCTCACTGACGCGCAACTCTTGGAACTTGAAAAATCAACGAATGTTTGAATAATCCGTAAAGTCTCACATATTTAATTGATTATTCATTTCATTTATCTTAATTTATTTCATATTCATTCATACGTTCGATGCGCACTATCATTTGCGCTAGTTTTTCCTCTTCACCAATTCATATTTCTTCACAACACTGAAATTTTTCTCTTTACACTTCTCTTTAACTTCACTTCTTCTTGTTTGTTTGTCTGCCACAAATATTATAATTAATATTTAACACACTTCTACCACTCCAATCGATCTGAAATTTTAAACGCTTGCGTTAAAGTTGGAGACAGCGCATTAATCAATTGACTGAATAAATAATTTTAAAATTAAATAAATTTAATATTAAAGAAAACCAGAAAAAATAATTTTGTCTGCTACAAATTTCATAATAGATATTTAACACACTTCTACCCATGGTTGAATCAACCATGCTTCTACCAGCCCAATCGATCTGAAATTTTGCACACTTGCGTAAAGGTCTGAGACAATGCATGAATCAATTGACAAAATAAAATAATTTTGAAACTTAATTTTTTCTATATATTAAAAAAATTTAAAATTAATTTTTTTACTAGTCGTAAATAAAATTATAAATTCATTGTTCATGTGTAACATCGCAGGCAATGGATTCTTTAGAAGTGTTGTCTTTAAAAAGTAATTTTCAAACGCATATTTTTATTTGATATCTTTGAGTAAAGGATTTTTTTTTTCAACTCTTTAAGAATGTACTGTAAACTTTAATCTAAGTATTGAACTTCTGTACAAATGGAAACGAAAAAGGCCAACGTAAACGACGTAATTTAATTGAATACTTGAAAGAAGTGCATTCACAGCGACGAATGCAATGTCGTAAACGCTGAAGTAGAACACACTGCACGAAAAATTTTAAATATTTTTATGAGTATAGGAATTGAGTGTTGAACATAAATAACAATAGAAATTAAAAATAAAAAGTCACTGTTTGAAAGCCAAGTTGCATGTTTTGGTGGATGGACGAATTCTAATCTGACAAGTGCAGACAAGAAGTTCTAGATTAAACCTACAATTGATTCAAGTGAAAACGCAGTCTATTTCAGTACCTACGATGAGGAAATCAGAACGATAAAATTACAAACTTTGTCTTATTTGTCTCTTTGAAAATAACCATAGAAACGAGCTCCTGTGAGAACAATTAGAATGTACAATGTGAGAACAATGTAGAAGGAAAACAGTTAAAGTTGTGTCCGCTCGGTAGCAAGGTTAATTCATGCAATTTTGCACGTTAAAGCCGGCATTAGCCTAGCAGTTGAAGAACAAATGTTCCTCTGAGCAGAAAACAAACGGGGTCCAACATGTGGCTTGTGATAGTAAACAGTAAATTTATCTGAGTGGATGCAACAGGCGTCCACATGCAATTCAATGAACTAAAGAAAAAAAAACATCTCTGAAATAAACCAAAATAAGCGACAGAAAAACAAGTTTTATCACAAGAGTCAAAATAGTTCAGGCTCACTCAAACACAAGGTTAATGCAATTCTCCGATTGAGCTAAGGATCTTCGATCTCGCCTGCTAACAAAAGAAAAGCATAAAGCGTATGTACAAAATTGTAGTGAACAGATAATAAATTCTAGCGTATGGCGAGTCAGTTTTTATTTAGTGGCCTGGTCAGTAGCAAATTCTTCGGTACTAAACATTTACTATTAGACATTTATATATGATAAAAAGGAAAACAGCAGATGGAAGAAAAGAATTTGCGATAGAATTTACCAGTCTCGAACCAGAAAACACCATTAGCATTCTAATGACTTACAAATTTGATTTAATATATAGTCAAAAGTGGAGGTTTAAAAAGAAAAGTTTTGAACAGAGACTTAAAGTTGGTTTCAATTATATATTAACGTCTTGTATTGTGGGACAAATGTTGTCGAACTTAAATTTTAGAATAACTTCTTGGGCGTTTTAGAGCAGATAAAATTTTGCTGACACTCATTTGTTCATTCCCTGAAGACGCCTCACATTGACGGCTATTCAATGCCTATAAAGCGGATTTTGGTTCTCAATATTCTTTACGATTAAACGCGGCTGCATAAAAATGTTGCTTACGTTAATTGTCTGTTCTGACAGATTTAACTGTCTAGGGAGCAAATTTGTTCGTAAATAAAGTAGGCTGTGATGGCCTAACTCTTGGCAAATTACAATTAAGTTTTACAAATCAGTATGTTCCCTGCAAAAAATACTTGTTGACTTTCATTTTGAGCCAACTAAATTGCCTGTATAAGCTCAATTAAAGAAACATTAAACTTTTCTGAAAATTAGTTGTATAAATTGCCAGGTTTGTGATTCAATTTTTAATATGTACACGAAAGAGCGCATTTAACCCTACAAACCTCATATATCCTAACACAATTTCATTCAAGCCGTTTCTAGTTAAAATTTCTTCACGCAGGAACATCCACTAGATTTGAGTTTTTATTCAAGCTTCCGTGATTGATTCTTCTCCGACGTTCCTATTACAAATTATTATATCATTCTCATACCCATGTTGATGCATCATTATTATACAGCACACGTAATCTCCATGTTACTCGTCTTCACACGGGCTAAAATTTGTCTAACGCAGTCGACGTTGCGACGATCCGAGATATTTTTCAGCAGTACAGACGATTATAGAGCGCATACATCCGCCTGCATCCCGCTTGAGCTGAAGGAAACGCGCGCAGTCGTCGCCCTGCCGCAGTGGCCGATGCATTGATCCTTCGTCGTTGTGTTTGTTGGTGTCGCACCGGTGACTTTTATCGAAAATTAATCCACTGACACCTTCCGGTTTTAACGCCGTGGAAAGAATGCGTTCAACAGGATCATAAATGATAATTTTTATTGAAGTAATGATGTCACAATTGTGTTATTCACTAATGTGCAGTAAAACATGCTAAGCTATATGTGCTTTTTATAATTAAATCTGAGTATTTTTCTACAAAAACCTACGATACTTGAAAACTAGAAGGCAAACCTTGCTCCTGAATTTGTTTACATTTGTTTTTGTTTTTCACGTTGATGTTCTATAGCAGATTGTCTCTCGGTTCATGTATAATTTCCATAGCTCGATAATTTAACTCCAAAGTCTATCAATATTAAATTCCCATTTTTGGGTAATTTGAATATTGAAAACATCTCTGAAAGAATTTACAACGAAATTACAACGCACCACTTATGTGGAAATTACCTACCACTACTCTACGCTCGCACCACTTATGTGGAAATTACCTACCACTGCTCTACGCCCACGCCACTTANTTTCAGATTTTGAGATAGAGTTGTCCACTTCTGCTTCGAGAATTGACTGCTTATCAATTCATTCATTTTTCTACGCATTTCCGTTATGAATTCCGTTTAAACATTGGTCCTGTGTGCAAATTTCTCTTGAACGTGCTATAATACAACGTTCTCACCTCTCCCTTGCGATACCATTCCAAAACTTCATTGAAGTTTTCGTGTAAATTTCAAAAATTATAGCCGCTCTACTTCATTATTTTTCTACCGGAATTCCTGCCGAAGAGTGTCCTTCACTTATTCGGTGGACGCTCAGGAGATATTTCGATCCTTGTATCCCAGCCTGGAAAAGTTCCAGCAGCATTCCGACCCGTTGCCCGAGCCACAATGAATGAGCAATTCTCAGCCTGCTCATGAGTTGTAGGCTTCTTTTAATAGGAATTTTAGGACAAAGAATTTGAAACAAAACTTAACAGGAGAGTAAAAATAATTGAGCAGCGAATTAAAGAACATTTCGTAAGTAGTCTCATTCATGACAGGTTTCTACGATGCCAATGCATCAAATAAAACATATTTACTCCTCATTTGTCCACGGAAAACTAACCTAGTTTCATTTTCTATGAACAGGATCAGTGATGAGCGCCCAAGACTCGCCATACTCTCACTCTGGTCGCAGTGACTCCCCACTCCTGATAGGACCAGCTCCCCCCAAAAGACGTCGGTCTCCAACGTCTTCTGTTTCCCCAACACATGGCGATTCCCCATCACGACAATTTCCCACTTCCCCAACCCACAGCGACTCCCCATCGCGACAATTTCCCACTTCCCCAACCCACAGCGACTCCCCAAGCACACATTCTCCCCAAATGGAGATCCCACGAACTGAACTCATCCCCGCCACACCCCAGACAGATTTTGGGGATACACTCAGCTTTCCAAGCTCCCCCACATCGGCCGCCGCTCCTACCAGTCCCCTTCCCACTTACCTCAGTCCTACGGATGCAGGATCCCAAGGAAGCTCCAGACGGTGAGTTCCATTTCTATGCATCTAAAATAGCATATCTTTGCCGAATTAAAAGCGTTCAAAACTAACTATTACGCCTATGCAATCTATATATCAATCGCATTTCAAAATGACTCCTACTCATCACGATTAATTTTAGATTTACTAAAACCTGTTTCAGTTTCCGATAGACAATTTTGCTGCACTTAAATCATTGTTTGTCAAATATTTAAACTTTTAAAAGTTCTCGAATTTAAGAAGTTTAAATTCTTAATTAAGTTGGAGAACTTAGACTCGCTGTTGCTCTCAAGCCAAGCCGTTACGGTGAGAGGTGGCGCTCGTAGAACTGTTTGGTTTACGTAAACATGTGTGCGAGGAACAGCATCGTGATAGAGTTTCAGTCGGCTAGAAGTTTTGTTTACAAATGACACAGGGCTGGCTATTTACGTCGTCTGGCTCGTATATTATCCTGTGCATGAGCTGAGTTCTCCATGAGGCAGCAGTCATCCAACTTGTTGCTGTATATCTAAAATGCTGGTGATTCTGAAAAAGAATTTTTTTCCTAATTATGCAAGAGTTTGAAACATCCTCCGTGTACAAGTAACATTAGAAAACAGAGTTCTTTTCGAAAATCTAGTACGCGTTTGCATCTAAAATTATTCATTCGCATTGACAAATATATTAGTTTGAAGAATCTAAGAAGATATTAATTGAACCATGTTCTTATATCCGATGATAAATTTGTTATGAGAAGAAGTTAAACGTCGTTTGCAAGTGAAACACATCATGCAAGTTCCAAAGTTTTCTGTTTGAGTGTGCAAAATATCTATGACTATTCTTAGTACTCGGTTCCTTTGCAAATAAAATATAATCGAGAAAAACATCCTTGAATGAAATTTATTTATGTTTCAAACGCGCCTCTCATGTTTGGAATAACAAACCTGAGAGGATCAATTTCTGGCTACACCTACATAGCACAACAAGCAATTAAATGAGACATTTGAGATGCGTTCAAAGATAAACGAAGATAGAGCGATGTCAATAAAAATCGTTAGAAAAATTCATGTTTGTTCGGAACTGAAAAGAAACAGTTTGTTTGAAGAATTTTTCATGGAATTTCATTGGTTAAGAGTAATTGCATGGAGTCTCCATTGTATTGATTATACTCGTGCAACGGTTCTCGTATAACTTCCAAGACGTTTCTTGTCAAAGGTTATCGAATCTCTGAGCATTGATGAGCTTTAATTGTTGCAATGTATACGTAATTGATCGACTCGCCTAATATTAACATAAACCATATTCGCATATTCTTGTTCAAATGGCCTCTTTATTCGTATTACAGTTCTGGCTGTATGAGTTGATTGTCAGAGCAATATTAAACAGCACAATTATATCAACATGGGACGATTAATATTCATGATCATATTCATTTGTCTATCCCGTTTGTGATAACAGATGCCCGCAGCCTCATTAACTTTAAAATGCTCGAAAGTTAATTATATCGCCCAATCCTCATCGAAACCACTAAGCTACGTCATATTTAAGTCTTTGATCATATTTAAAAATCTCTCTTCTCGTTCAAAATAATTCTTTTAATTTTTTAATTATACCTAATTTAATTTCTATGTTTGCACTGAAAAGGATCAGCTTATGCACCTCAATTAAAAAAAAGAAACCATTAATTGCATGTATAATAATGATTTTAATTGTCATTCTAACTTATACTGGTATATCAATTACAACATAAATTGCTTCATTCGCGAGATTGAAGAATTGTTCAATTCATTCTTAACAGGCCAGCAAAAAAATTTGCTACGAAATTTCTCATTTACTGTACATGTTTAGATATTATTTTGCAATATTCGTCGCTATTGGACGAAGTGCATGGCTAATATCGAATATTATGAATTTATAGTAACATTTTTAACTTTCTTTGTCGTCAGGAGTTCACTGTCAGCAGACATAGACTCGAGACGAGAGTCTCTAAATAAGATGGCTTCTGGTGTCGTCAAGGACCTCAGGAAAGGCGTCAAGAACGTGTCCGACAACACAAAGAAAGCTGGCCACAGAGTAAGTATATTTCGTCTAATTATGTTCAGCCGCGCTGGCACCAAACATATGTCACTCAACTAACCGTCAGAGACAGCCATTTGAATGACAGCGAAAGATTTGTTGCCAAATGTTTAAAACTTCTACAAAAGATTGCAGGAAATAGAATGTTGGTGTTGGCTAAATTAGTATGAACAATAGTATCTCCTAACCTCAAAGATTTCTGGACGCATGAAACCACTCGTACTCAATCGCGCATGTATCGTAATAATCTAATCATAATTTTCAGCACAAAACTCATTCACGATAGTAAACATTCCTGATACTCTAGGTGGTGGATCAGAGCAAGCAGCTCACTAAAGATGTCGAAGCCACCACACGCAAGGTAAACCTTACTTGTTCATTTGCGCTTCGTAGAAGTTGACCCTGGAGATAAAAATCCAGTTTTAGTTCGCATTTTTTTTGCCAGCAATGTTTCTGTCACCATTCGACCTTCAAATAAACAGAAATATAAATATTTCAACGGCTTTTCCAAACAGTATTTACTGTACTGGGCGCTTATTCACAGTGAGTGTGAAAAAATCTGTAACGTCAAACTGTTCGCAACGCTAACTCTACAAATTAAATGGTGGCAGAACAGGCAACGTAGGCTTAGAACTTTTGAACTGAATTTCTATTTATTTGCAGATCTGCTTAAGTATCTAGAGACTTATTTACATATATTTTATTACTTTAATAAGAGCAAGTTCAAAGACAATGACCATATTTTCGGTCTCTAGACTCCATCTTCAGCTCATATGCGACTACATTGCGAAAAAAGCGAAAAAAAACAATGCAAAATAAACTTTTTGTCGTTCAGTGTCTCACTTGAGCAACTGTCATTCCGTTTTTTTTTACAAACCCCAATGCTTTCTGACGATTGCTTCAAGATGCGGAACGTACATGCATGTAGAGTTTCTAATATTCTGGCGCGTATATCTTCAAGTAATACTACAATTTTGAGACCTAAAATGTCCATATAATTAGAAATAAGACGGCGAATGATCCGTAACTGATGATGGTGCCCTCCAGATGCCGGTCCTACTTCTGGCAGACCTGGCAGTTCATAATTTTGTCGTATCTCAAATATATCCCATAGAATGATTTTAAACCTAAAATTACAAGTGATTGCTTATGAATTTTACGGAAAATAATTTTCAAGTTTTTCTTTGAATCATGACACTGAAGAGAATTTTAAGACACATGAAAAGAACCTCCCCACGGCAGCTGTACAGTGCACAGTGCAGCACTAGTGACGCATCTTAAGACAGAACCAATCAAACTTTATTGTGGTTCTTCCTACATCTTAGGAAGAACCACATCTTAAGAATCTTAAACGCATTACTCATAATCAGAGTTTCGACTTATTTTGTTTTCGTTTATGTATAGACTGGAAGCGAATGTTGTTACTGATTCCATGAGACATCCGTTTCCTATATTAATTATGTGTACATTGAAGGACTCGGATAATTTCATACATTGATTCAATCATCATAGCGTTTTAAAATAAGGTAGTTTCATGTCAACAGCAAGCAGTTCATGGATTGAAATTCATTAGGATGATGCATTAACTTACAAAGCATTAACTGTAACATTAACCCTCGCACTTGAATGGTCAGAATCATCACACAATTTTATGGAAATTGAAGCTAGAATGCACTAAATCAAACGTGAATCGTAATGAAAAAAAATATGGCTAAAATTTCTATCGGAAATTCCGCTCTAATAAATCGTTTAGAAGTCGTAATCATTCTACAAATAACATAAAACGGAATTAGCAACGCAATTTATTCTATTACCTTCTGTTATTTCTGAAGCAATTACCTCTTGCTTTAATTATTTCAAGTCTTATTTTAATTATTTCAAGTCTTAATTTAATTGTTTCAAGTCTTATTCGGTCGTCGCTCTTATTTATTCTTGTTCGTGAATTTTAATTGTTTAAACAACATGTACATGTATGTAGCATGCTGAGAAAAAATTCCCGGTGTCCAATAATTTTTGTCTCTTATCTTTATTTTTATGTCAATGAACTTTGGTTCCAAACACTGGAGTAAAATTAGTTTAAAACGGTTAAATAGCGCTAGAATCCCCTTACTAGTCAACCTAGTCGACGTGCAAAACCACCTTCAGCTCTTTGTCACTATATACTGTATATGGCATGTTTTTTGTCACTAACAAGCTTTTTGTCTCTAGGCAAGCTTTTGTCACTAGGCGCGCTCTTTGTCACTAGGCGCGCTCTTCGTCAATAGGCAAGCTTTTTGTCTCTAGGCGCGCTCTTCGTCAATAGGCAAGCTTTTGTCACTAGGCGCGCTCTCTGCCACTAGGCGCGATCTTTGTCACTAGGCGCGATCTTTGTCACTAGGCGTGCTCTTTCTCACTAGGTGCACTCTTTGTCGCTAGGCGCGCTCTCTGTCACTAGGCGCGATCTTTGTCAGTAGGCGCGCTCTTTGTCACTAGGCGCACTCTTTCTCACTAGGCGCGCTCTTTGTCACTAGGCGTGCTCTTTGTCACTAGGCGCGCTCTTTGTCACTAGGCGCGCTCTTTGTCACTAGGCGCGCTCTTTGTCACTAGGCGCGATCTTTGTCACTAGGCGCGCTCTTTGTCACTAGACAGGCTCGTCATGTTAGCGGCAAATTCCAATAGAAGCCCTCATTCGATCAGTGTCAATGAGCGAGTAATTGGGATACGCTTTGTCTCCCTCAGAGCAGACCGACTTGTCCAGTGACTTCGCTTAACAATATAATGTTAAGTGATAGAACAGACGCAAATACCATTGAAATACAAGTAAAAGCAGGCTCAGTTTCTAGCAATTAAGTTTAAACTCCATTGTCACATGAACATCAAATGTCTATGACAAATATTTGCTTCAACTTGTTTGGTCGTAATAGGTCGTTGATCAGGGTAAGCTGCTCGGTAAAGAAATGGAAGCCACCGGACAAAAGGTAATTTGCTCATTTGATGCCTGTTTTACGTACATAGCTTTTTAATTGTGAATAAAATGGAGAACGTGAATTTTTCCATTCAATGTTTTGAGTTTGTTTAGCTATAATAGTTCTGTCGACGGTTAGAAAAGGTTAAAATTGCTTCTGTGCTTTTCATGGAAATAAGAAATGCTTATATTTCGTTGAATAGAAAATTTAAACAAATAGAAACCAATAGTCGAGCTAGCTTGGAATGCACAATTTTTAAGTTAGCTTAGAATGTGTTTGTTTTTAATCTTGACTTGATGATTTTCCATCACACAAGGTTTTAGAGAAGATCCCAGAGGATGCCTTCGTGCTCTCGTTGGCATCGAGCATGCAGATGTGGTTCTTTTAAATCTTCTCGATAAGCTGCATTATTTTTCAGCTAACACATTAGAAAGCTTCTTCCTAGAGATCATGCAGGTTTCTTTGTAGAAATTATTTAAATCTGGTTTTGTTGTTTATTTAATTTCAGCATTAGCTGCTCTAGAAAGATGCTGGATAAGGATATTTTCTATCACATTTTCGTTTGCACAACTTATATTTCTAGTGCTGTATTTCCTTTATATGTATCTCCAAGCAACTGAAATCCCTGTCGCTCAACCCAAACTTCTCATTGGAAAGAATATGTACAAAAACTTCTAGAAAATAAAAAAAACCTTTGTGATATTCACAACAATTTTTGAATATCACAAACCTTAATATTTTATTCATAGAAAGCAAAGGGCATCTAAAGTACAACAACTTAGACTCGACACTAATCTCATTCTAAGCACTATTGTCATGGGAGTCGCGTCTTATAAGTTTGTAGAATATTTTTGAGAGTTCAGTAGAATTTACGTGTTGCGTAGGAGGCTAATAACACCAAAGCGTGGACAACATTGCTTCCCCGGCGCCATTGTGTCTGTATTGAACTGATCAGACTACAGACTACAGAGATAACTGAAGCGATATGGTGAACCACGGGTTTAAGCAAAAATCAATATAGTTTATCTCATATCATACATGACACGTTTAACTTCTTTTAAAACATTTTTTATACAACATATAAGGTGAAATTGAATTAGTTAATACTTCACTACCTTACATAATCTGATAATTTAACATCGGATCGAATATTATCGCTTATATATTTGTTGTTTACACAATGTTTTCCAAGTATTGTTTTGTCAATAAATGTGGTGATTGACATTAATAGGGACATCAAATTTTTCGCTAGATTTGTGAATTTACAGCACATCACTAATTACTCAAGTTCTACATGTTTTGTTTTGGACACAAATCTGCAGTGTTGTTGGTGCTTTTGGATTTGCACAATTTTTCGCCTTTAGGTTCAGAGCAGCCGGCAAACAAGTCGATTTTCCGCACGCGTTTACGCGGCGTCATTTCTAGCCTGATTCTCTTATTTTAATTTAGTTCAACAGCACTATTTTTCTGTTGCGTCGCATGATCGCACCACGATGCATGACTAAAACGTAAGCTCGTGCATGCAGTTGGACTTATCTCAGTATTCCGGATCTTAAATATATTTGATGATTTAATTTAAATGAGATAAGCAGGTAAATCATTTATAATTTTAAAGTACCTATCAACATTTGGGGTTTGATTATAACAGCGATGGTGATTTTAGTTCACTGTTTACGATCACAATCGTTAACGCTAATGGAAATCTAAAGGTTAAGTCTTTCTTAAAGTGCGACCGCTTGTTGCTCAAATGAACTCGACTCATTCTTCCCGAAATATTGTATTTGCGGTGTGCTATTGGATGCGTAAATTGGGAATTCATTTTTTTATTCATTTCATAAAATGTTCTACAATGGCATAAATTGAATCCCGTCCACGGGAAAGTCCCAAGAAAACTCTGTAAAATTATAACCGATCGGTGTCAATGATGTGTTCAGAATTCAGAGCAAAATTCATTGTTCTTGTATACGTGAAAAGGAACAAAGAGTTTCTAGTAAGAGAAAAAGATCGTCTTGTTTCTTGAAAACCAAACACATGGTTTTTCAAAACACATTGCCGTTGAAAACCTGAATCAAAATTTGAATTCTGCCTAAATTAATTCTTGAAATTTGAATTTAAGTCCAATTCATTGTTTATTATTCGATTACCGTCGTGCCAGGTGAAGGACCGGACAGTGATGATGGGCACATCTGTACGGGGAGCGAGCCACTGGGTGGCGATGCAGACGAGCAGGTCTGCTAAGCAGGCGATGCAGCAGGCGAGGTCTGGGCTCAGCCTGGGCGAGAAGACGACGCTGTTCCTCACCGAGAAAGTCAGGACGTGAGTCGTGAGAAGCAGCGAGGTGTGAATCAGTGATAAATTGTCTAGAAAATTGGTAATGTCGTATTATCGTAACGTTTTCATCATATTCTGTTTCTTTAATAAAAATCAAATTGATCTCCTCTGTTTGACGTTAAAATTATAAAATCACTATCCTACAATAATGACTTGAAACACACTGATTATAAATGCTCCACTTTTACATTAGTATTATGACAATGAACGAAGAATTAGAACTCGTTTTTGCCATATACGGCATAAAATTTTTGGTTACGCGAATGTCAAATAAGTTCCCATACATCAATTAATAATTTGAATGCGTTTAATTCATTGATAATTTGCACTGTACGTACGATATCCCTACCCTCGTATAAACCGTGTGACATACACACATAAACCGTGTGGCATACACGCAGGTGGTCACGCAAGGGCTTCACGCACGTGTTCATGTTCCTGATGATCGCGGCGTACACGGCGCTTGGCGCGGCGCTCTTCATGGCGCTCGAGGCGCCCCACGAGAACGCAGAGAAACTCGTCATCGAGTACGAGAGGAACCGTCTCATAGACGACCTCTATGTTGAGAGCCGCCTACACGAGCGACATGAGTGGCGGGAGGTGGGAGGTGGTGGTGGTGGTGNGGTGGTGTGAGTAGAGTGAGTGGAGAGAGGGTGGTGTGAGTAGAGTGAGTGGAGAGAGGGTGGTGTGAGTAGAGTGAGTGGAGAGAGGGTGGTGTGAGTAGAGTGAGTGGAGAGAGGGTGGTGTGAGTAGAGTGAGTGGAGAGAGGGTGGTGTGAGTAGAGTGAGTGGAGAGAGGGTGGTGTGAGTAGAGTGAGTGGAGAGAGGGTGGTGTGAGTAGAGTGAGTGGAGAGAGGGTGGTGTGAGTAGAGTGAGTGGAGAGAGGGTGGTGTGAGTAGAGTGAGTGGAGAGAGGGTGGTGTGAGTAGAGTGAGTGGAGAGAGGGTGGTGTGAGTAGAGTGAGTGGAGAGAGGGTGGTGTGAGTAGAGTGAGTGGAGAGAGGGAGGCGTGAGTAGAGTGAGTGGAAAGAGAAAGGCGTAGGTAGAGTGATTGGAGAGAGAGTGGCGTGAGTAGAGTGAGTGGAGAGAGGGTGACGCGTGTAGATCAAATACGATTTTAAATTACAGATCAATGCGATGCAACCTCGTTTTTTTGTGCTGAATGTCTTGAACTCAACTTGATTGTAAAACCTTGAACTTAATTTCCTTTTTAACATAAATGATTAATTATAGGAAAAGTTTTGCGGTTGAATGGACTTTTTTTTATTTTCATTTCAAACCTACAAATGTTTACATTTTGCTATCGCAGTTTTGATAAATAATAATTTTTTGGTCAGAAATTTTCTTTTGTTAAATTATAGAGCCAACAAAAATTGCATTATTTCATTAGAATTATTGTCTGTTAACAGCAACTCTTGAACTTACTTTCCTCAAAATTGTTAATCCTGATTAAACTTATTCAGATGGCGAAGGCGCGGCTACGGCCTTTCGAGGAGCAGCTACGCACATCCTTCAGCCACGGCGTCTCGTCTGACACTGACAACCGCGTGTGGACCTTCTGGAAAGCCATGTTCTTTTGCTCCACCATAACTACAACTATTGGTCAGTTCCAAGCTATCTTCAATAATAGAAATTATGTAAACTTTGCAACGTTTAAAATTAAATTTGATGCTAGAAATAATCGGACTATTGATATCACCAATCAATCATCAATCAAGAATTCCAAAATTTTAAACAATTTTTTTCCTCGATGATGTGCGAATTGTTGAGCAATTGTACGTTTTTTTTTTTTGTTTATGTTCGTTAATTTCAGGTTACGGGCACATGACGCCCGTGACGACGGCCGGCCAGACTCTGTGCATAGTTTACGCAATCATCGGCATTCCTCTCATGCTGATCCTCATGGCGGACTTCGGTAAGCTCTTCACACGCGGACTTAAGGCGATCTTCAGGCTGATCTTCCGCATCAACAGATCTGAACAGTGCCTCAAGATCCGCAGGAGTGCATTAGTCAAGGTAATCCGAGCTACGATTCAAATAGTTGTTTTAATTGATATTTTCTAAGTTAGTAGTATGAGCATTGTGAAGTTAATACATCAAAAGATGATATTTAAGGGTTGTGATGATATATAAGGGTGGTTGATATATGAGGGTTAATGATATATAAGGGTTGATGATATATAAGGGTTGTGATGATATAATATGGGTTGATGATACATGGTTGATGGGTTTGATAATGAACGGGCATATTTGTCTTGATAATTCTGCAATCAAAATGTTTGTTTATTTGACGCTAGTTTCATCATAATGTCTTGTAAGCCCAATGTTATTTGTCCGTCGAAATTGTTGGGAAGATGCATGCATAAGATCCGTTGGTGTCAAATTGGCAGCGCTGTAATATAAAATTTTGGCAGGTGATCCCGGCATTTCTGTAAATAAATAGTTTCAGAGACTTTATAATCAAATGCCAGATCTATTATCAGCAATCGTTATACTCCTAATACTTCGTTACCAATGGTAATGGTAATTAAATGAAGATCTGTGCGAGCACTCACGCTACAAATAAAAATATACTGGAAATCAATATTCCTCTTCGCAGCAATACCTAACGTATTATCATATTGCCTTTTTTCGTGCGATGGAAGGCATTGAAAATAAGAGTGAATTGGAAATCCACATTCAGAGAAATGAACCGTTTTGGTTTTACTGTGCAAATACTGACACATTTTCTGCCCGTAGCAATGATACGCCCGTTTGCCTGCTAAACTGGGTTAGGATGACGCACACAAACACAAAGAGTGTTTCGCTACTTGGACAAATCTCACCAATTTCTCTGAATGAAGAATCTATTTTAATTTAAACTCCCTAAAAACTAAAAATTCATGAAATTAAACTCGACAAATAAAATCAGGAACAATTAAAGTTCACCTAACTTTCAAATGAAGGTTCAATTGGGTTTTGATATGAGAGATTGTGTAGCCTTCTTCTAATGAGCAAAAAAATAAGTGTGAAAAGTGGGAAGGTAATTTTAAATAACAAATTTTTAAATGCTGTAGATCATTTATCGCGAGCGAAGTGTAATTAAAAGTGTAATTATAGGATACTTGTATTAATTTTTTATTTATATAAGATTTTAGTTTATTCTACAACAACTGATTAATTATTATTAAATGAATACATAACATTAAGTCATTGTTATATTACGTACTTCTCAGGGCTGTAAATCTGGGAAACGCTGGCTGTGCCGCAAGATTTTCTTCTGCAAGCCGTGCCGCGGTGAAGAGGATAGTGAAGAAGGCACGAAGGATGAGGAGCAAACTCTCGAGGAGCTCATCGGGGACGACAACTTCAACTTGCCCATATCTCTTGCTCTTCTTATCCTAGTCATCTACATTCTCATTGGATGTTTTGTATTTCCGCTGTGAGTATTCGTAGTAATTAATGCTCTCTATTAAAAAATTGTTGGAATTTATTACTTTTTAGTTTTCAGTATTCTATTTCACGACTTTTTACTCCGTGTATTTCAAAATACGCCTGAGAAAATTCGAGGATGAATAGCCGTGGAAATATTCGAGGTTACTTAAACACTGGGAGTCAACTCCGTGGACTTTAGGAAGATGAGCGTGCTGTCCAACAGGACTTTAATAAAGGATATATAAGCCTTCTTTTCAAATATTTGACAGCAATGCAAACCTGTATTGTAATGCTTCATTATTACAGATGGGAAGACTGGACTTTCTTTGAAGCGTTCTACTTCATATTCATATCGATATCAACGATAGGATTTGGCGACTACGTACCCCAGGTAAATTGCTAAGTTATGAAATATTCAAAGATTTTATCCTTTAGGTTACTCTTTCAATTTAATAATCATCTGTTAATTTAAATTCTTTTCCCTTAATGCAAACACATTTTATTGATATATATTTTTTATTTTTATTAGCCAATGTTAAGGTTGGCCAAATCTTGAATTTACAGAACTTAAACTAAATAGGCTGCCAATTTCAATTGCAATGACCCTCATCTATAATCGAAATATTACCAATTGGCAATTGGATATTATTTCTGTCGTTGTCCAGCATCCAGGCTTCATGATGGCTACCACCTTGTACTTCATATTTGGTCTCGCCCTCACTGCCATGTGCATCAACATCATCCAGGTGAGGACAACTCGCGTGAACCAAACTTCACAAGTACGAGTATATTATGCTAATATTCAGACCAGGATATTCATAATCGCTGAAATTCGGAATCTCGTAAAATCAAATTTTATTACGTCAACGTCTGTTATCCCGCGCCCCGCTTTAAGTTTAAAATTGAAGTATTGTTGAAATAAAATAGGTTTGCCAAAGTCCGCACTATCAACATACATCTATCAGTTACCTCCAGCTTCGAAGTCAGGAAAAAATGTCGTTTCCAATTTTTCGATGAACCATGCAATTTTTATTCTCCTTGAAATATTCTCGTCTCCTTGTAAAATATTGCTTCATGTTGTCAGCCCTAAAAATGAAAATTTTGATCCAGAAAATAGGTAATGTTTATTCGAGCTATAGCCCCATAATTTATTATAATGTTAATATTCCAGTAAATTCAATAAAATTTTCGGAAATATACTTCATGAGCGACTATTAAATGAACACAACATTTGTCGGGATCGATAATTCCTGAGAATGCGGTTCCAAATATCATATTCCAATGATCCTGTTCTCGTTTTTCAATCACCAAACACATAAAAACACAAACGTTCAAAACAGAGAAATACACTGAAAAAGAGCCCCACACAATCATACCCAAAAATATCAGAAACATCCATTTAAGTCCCATTTCTAAATTTAAAATATTAGTACTAAATATACGTAAACAATTCCGTTCTAGTGAATAATTAATTATGGTTGAGTTAAAATTTCCTAATGCAATATCCCGACACGCTTGCTGACGCGCTCGAACAGCCCCATTATATTTACGGGCTGTAAATAAAGAAACGCAACAAAACCAGCTTAAAAAATATAAAACATACAGCAAATTTGTGTGTGCAGTTCATAAGCTATACAGTTAATTAGTAACGAAAACACTGACTAGTATGAAGTTAACATTTATATTTCAATTTGAATCTTCACACAAAATTTATTTTAAATTTATTCATAATTAAGTGACCGGTTTTAAATTTTGAAGCTCGAAGTAAGTAACTAAGCAACTTTCAATCTATAAGTTTAATAAAATTCGTAAGTCAGATCAGTAGAGTTTAGCCTATTTTATTTATATTTTCTTTCCTCGTAATGAATTTGTATGAGTATTTACTCTCAGAATTTCACCAAAACGCCAGAACACAAGATTGCGAATTGATGACACACCATTATTTCTGTCATTTACTATTTGTACGCAAAAATTTGAATATGTATATAAAATAGTAAAATACGTTAGCATCATCTTTTGTTTTCATACACTCAGGAGAAATTGACCAACACATTCAGAGAAGCTTCGTTGAAAATGAAGGAGCGATTCAGTAGCATCATGGCCAAGGCCGAGCAGGAGGCCGAAGAAGCAGCTAGGATGAAGGAGCTCGGGTCATCTAACACTGACATCGCAGCCGTGCACCGTGACAGCAAAGCCAGCAAAGAAGACGACCTGGATAAACCTCGTTGAAGTCGTACCGTCCACACTTGATATGTTTGAATAATGTTATAACATCCTTTATATAATTGATGGTAGTTTATGATTAAAACTACCACATGTTTCAATCGCAGTAGAATATTATCGATGGTAAGAAATTGATTTCTTTCCGTCTTGGAACAACTCCGTAATATTTAGATAATTGTTAGATAATACTTATAAGAATGTATGAATATTGTGTATCTAGAATGAAATTTTTGGTGACTGAATAGAGCAGGTACCGCATTAAATCCTCGATAACTTATTGAACTTAACTGAATATTGTAACAGCGGGGCAATGACTTGCGTGAAGATAACTTGCGTGAAGTACTCGAGTCGATAAAAATATTCGAACTGAATTCAGAATGAATGTTCGCATTAAGTGTGCATCGACATGCTGATATTAATGATATTGTGTATCGCTATGTTGTATTTCTATGTATTTAATTTTAGTTTTAATGTGTTATAAGTGAGATATATAATCCTGGAGTTTTATAATATGAGTGTTGGTAGCCAACTCGTATATTTTAGCCTTTCATTCCTTGTACATATCACCTGCCCCATTGAAGTCTTCATCATGTTATATCTCGTCGCCTAGGATGGCAGATTATTTGTACGCAGTGGTCACTATAGGCATGAAGTTGTTGTTAAATAAGTAAGTAAATTTATATATAAGTGATGACGCGTATAATTATTGCATGATTAGTTTTTGTAATATTATGACCCTTCAGTCACGTTCTCGATGAACGGGGGTGCAGCCGTGGGCCACAAATCTAACCAAAAACCGCTCACTCGCTCCGCCTCTCCACCTTCCCTCAGCCAATGAAGAAAGATTATAGGTCCGCTCTGTTTTGTTTTGGGTGGAGAGTCGGGGGCAGTGTGAGTAGGTTAAGCCAGATGTGGGTATGACCGTGCTTAGCTTGAGCATGCTTGAGCTTTAGTCGTGGACGTACGGAGATATGGCTGTAATTACTTAACTAAATATAAGCCCTAATGCGTGCTTGCCCGTGGAAAGGAATACTAGTTAGAGTTTGGACTTGGGCTGTGCTGACCTCTATCATGCATCTCTTTAAGTCTCTAAGAGGATCAGCTACGAAAAAAAATCAGCATTGAAGATGCTGGGCTAAATTGAATTTCACCTGAATTTCTGTCTCTCATTACTTTCTCGAAACATTTTACGCATTGTAGGATAAGTATGTAGTGAAACATAGTTTCTCACGTATATATTTCAAAGCCGTGTTCGATATTAACTAAGATTTTGTTATGATATAATCATAATTTGTTACGACGTTTAGACGAGACAACAGTTTTATGTCAAGTAATAGTTTCATTGTAATGATCTATTTATAATGCGCCTCCCATAAGCAAATCGAGCGCTGGTATCCAATGAGAAATTGAGTGCCTCATTACCTAAAGTATTTATTAAATAAGAAGATTTATAAATGTTCACACTTCGCTCAATATGTAACGCTATCATATGGTCATTATAATGTTACTTCCATATCTTGTACATCATCTTTAATTTTATGTATTGTTCATTCATCTCAAAGTGTAATTCATAAATTGCACATTCACGTTGATAATATTCAGTTTAGTTTGGATAAACAAGGGATATGTTTCCGTATATTTAATAGGTATTTCGTCAATATCGTGCAACAATCTTTCATATATATAGACTAAATTCTAACTTCTACATCATGGCTCGTGCGAGGGTAAGATTATAACGAGTCAGCTGTGCTTCTATGCTTTTGGGATGGCAACGAGGGAGAAAATTTCTCGTTACGCTCGACTCGAAATTTCAGATGAATCAACTTTTTTTTTTTTAGCAATGACCCTAATTTTACTGAGTTAGTGTCCCATAAATCTGACATGTAGTTATTTTTTTCATCTGACTCACGTATATTAAGAGCCTAGTGTCTTACATCTTATTTTTCATGTATATTAGGCCATAACGTTGACTTAATGCTAGTCAAAAATCTAGTGCTTTAATTAATAATCCAAATATTTAGTAGTCAGAATAAAACTAAATTTTAATTTAAAGCGGAAATCAAATGATTACTCCAGTGATTAAAATATGTTTAAGGTAGGTTAATTTACATCACGAGAAGTATTCGTCTATCTCGTCCTAATATATAAACGGCCATGTAAGGCTAATTTTGCTATGTTTGTTGACAAAAAATAATATTGATAATTGCTTTATTTTCCTTTTGTTGCATTTAATAATATATTAATGGAGGCATTTAAGAAATAAAACATTCAGAACGTTTAAAAAGTGCACTTTCAAGTGGTGTACAATAGTTTTAAATAAAATTAGGCCGCAATGTTTTATAACTATGGTTATTAGAATCGACCATAATGATTGAAACGACAGAAATTGTACACCCTTATGATAAAATACATTTTAGTGAGTTCCAAAGCTCAGCTGCCTGAAGACAGTATAATTTAAAGGATTTAATTGTAAATCGGAGGGAAATTGCGAACTAGTTAATTTATGGAACGAAAAATTCTCGCATCTTCTTATCCGATGTGTACCACTTTTTCAATTCTAACTTGAAACGTCAAATAATTAAGCGGGCGTCCAATCTTTTCATGGCATTTTTCTTTGTCATTTTCAGACTTCTTCAATTCTTTTTTACCGCAAGATGTTAGAACCCGTTTCCTTGTTTCCTGAAATTCTTCTTGAAGTGTTGGTAGTTGAAAGCATCAGGTTTATAGCCACCACAGAAGTTGTAGAGCGGAGAGTCCGTACGCGTGCAGCATAGGCAGACGACCATCACGGCAACCATTCCTTGTTTTCAACGTGTCAGAAATTCAAGGCACGTCAAGTTATCACTTCTTTAAAATTACTTTTTCCCCTATTTGATACTCAAATGATAAATAATTAGTGGGTTTACTTTAAGTTGCTTCACAAGAAAAACTAGAAATGGAAAAATTTCCTTAGTGTCTTTAATCCATGAAATTAAATACAAATTGAGATCAAGCTTGCCATTAGAAGTTAGAAATTTGAGAATTTTCTCGACTTGAGAGGTACCCCGACGCTAGAATCGGATATATAAAATTGAAATTAGGTAATTAAGTATTTACCAGCCATGGCAGGGAGGGTGCAGTACCAGAAGTAAGAAATACGGTTGTTCATCGCGTATTTTCGCTGCCTCTCATCAGGGGTCAGAAGTTGATCAGGGATGTCCATCTCGCCTGCCGAGGTAATTAGATAATCATCGCTATAACTTTAGAAGAACGATGAATATTATACTGTATTATATTATATTGTATTATACTATACTATACTACAATATATCATATTACATTACATTGTATTATATTATATTATATTATATTCAAGGACTACTACACACAGGACATGCATAGCCTATGTCCAGCCTCTGCTAGCAGAGAATACTATATTATATTATATCATATTATATTATATTATATATGTCCCATGTCCCATAAATACTGATTTCCGTAAAGCAATTTTAACGTAAAGTTATACTTCAACATAAACAGCGGTTGAGCAAGTTGCGCACGCTGTCGTGGGGCTAGTCTAGTCGTCTGTTGTCTGAATCAAGCGTTATGAATTTTCACGAAACTGACTCAATAAATAAGTCCGTCCTTATGTTTTTAGATTGGAACCATTGTAACAATTAGAAGCACAGTAACAATTGGAACTCATGGAATATTTGGAACCATTGCAACAATCGGTATCATGTAAACAATTGAAAGAATTAGAACTATCGGAATCATTTGAGCCTTTGAAACAATTAGAACATTTGGAACAGCTGTAGCCTTTGAAACAATTGAAACATTTAGAACAGTTGGAGCCTTTGATACAATTAGAACATTTGGAACACCTTGAGCCTTTGAAGCAATTAGAACATTTGGAACACCTTGAGCCTTTGAAACAATTAGAACATTTGGAACAGCTGGAGCCTTTAAAATAATTTGAACATTCAGAACAATTCTAGTAATTTTCCACACCTTGGATCATCTCGGCAAGATTGATGGCGTTGACGTTGGTGCAGTTCCAGTTCTTGATGGTGGGCTGCGTCCAGTTTCCCTTTGAGCAGGTCACGGTCATGTCGCTTTTCCCCGTACCTCTGAGTAATAGGTACAACAGAATTTTTATTATGAATGTAAGAGCTTATTCAAAAATAATAAACAGAAATAAAATGATTGAATCACACTGTATTCTTTGTTCTTTGCTTATATATGAAATTATAAATATTACTATATTTCTAAGAGCGGAACCGCAATCCCAAAACCCAAGTCCGGGTTCTAATATTTTTCTCAGTCAATGAAAAATCTAATATTTATGATACAACACAAATGAAAATTCACCCGAAGGAATTATTTTCTGCATATGCAAGAGATCGAACAAGTAATGTTCTATGTAACTTTATATATAATAAATTAGTATAAGAGAAATTAATCACATGTATAATTTTTTAGCCTTGTTGAATTCGATGGTCTCTGTGTATTCGTTGTTGATACTCTGCGGATTCGAGGGGTTCATATAACTGTGGCTCCTGTAATAGAGTGTCAGCAATCTACAAGCAACAGCGATTTGGCCATATTTGTCAAAATCAACACTTCAGCTGCGACGTTGCCAGAAATCTTCCATGCAAATGAAGGTGATGGCCAAGTATTTTGTTCTCGCAAGATAAAATAAAACCTCACTTATTCATTCCTTCCTGGCATTTACAATTTAACAAAGAGCCAAAGCAAATGTGAAATCAAAAACTCCAAAAACTCGCTGACATGAAGCCAGGGATGCATGTGTAGGTGATGACGCTCCCGGCAATTCTCCTCTCCTCCTTGAAGTCGCTGATGGCTTGAGAGGGAACCTGAGGGATTGGGTCGAGGCAAGGCAGCTCCGTGCAGCTGAGGGAAGCGAATTAATAAATTTATAAAATTACTAATTAAAGATAACTATTCAGGATAAAAATTTTAAAAATACAACCTACTTACTGATGAATTTATCATAGCGTTAAAGTGTCAATAAGAATGTACTCTTTCTCCACACTCAGTCTATACCGCTTTAGTATGTCTCGCATGCGTCGCGGGTTCTGATGAGAATTAAATTCACTTAATTTTATTTGAAGTTCATCTGCCGAGCAAGAATATATAATTTATGTTTAGAACTGTTCTATTTTTGAACACAGTAGACCTGATCAGTGATAAGCTGACCAGCTCATAAGTGATGAGTAGATTGTGAGGAGCTACTCACAAGTGATGAGTAGATTTGTGAGGAGCTACTCACAAGTGATGAGTAGATTGTCAGGAGCTACTCACAATTGATGAGTAGATTGTGAGGAGCTACTGGCAGCTGCTGCCAAGCAGCCCATCCTTGCGGGCTTTCGAAAGGAGTATTCCCCCGCAGTCAGCCCTGGCACCCGGTTGCTGACCTGACGGGATGACCTCAGGGCGCGCAACCCTATAACGACCCCCGGCTCCCCGAACTCAACCTAGAAATCTCCACTTCAATACAAGCCCATGCCAGGAACACCTGGCGGACACATCTCGCCTCGTGCAACAGGCGAACTCACATGTCAAAACACTGGAACCTTCTCCGCTCACTATCCGGAAAGCTTAGCCGCCCTCCACCAACCAGCCAATCCAATTTGGTCAGGCCCCCCTCTCGTCGCAGCGCATGATCTCCACCGACTTCTGCAAACTATTCACCTCTATCGCTCCGCACTCTCAAAACCCATCCACCCGCCGCCTTATGCGTCGAATTTATGAGTCGCTGAGCACCCCCTGGACAGGGACTTCGCCCCTTTCACCCCCAACATGGTGAAACTCGCCATCTGAGCCGCCAACAATTCTTCCGCTCGGGGTCCGGATGGCCTCACGGCTCTCCACCTCAAACACCTTGACCCACGTGGCCTCCAGTTCCTTACCCACATCTTTAATATCTCTGTCTCCACGGCCTCCTTTCCATCTATATGGAAAAACTCAATAATTATCCCGTTACTAAAACCAGGAAAACCTGGTATCCAGGGCTCCTCATACCGCCCCATCTCCCTCATTTGTACAGCGGTCAAGATCCTGGAACGCCTACTGCTCCCATACATCTCTGATTCTCTCGTCACGGTTTCTTCGCAACATGGCTTCAAACCGGGACACTCGGCAGTCACCGCCCTCCTCCCGCTCGCGCACCAGATTGCGACGGGTTTCAATTCACACCGTCCCCCAGCACGTACAGTGGCAGCTGCGGTCGACCTAGCGAAAGCTTTCGATAGTGTCGACCACCCTCTCCTCCTTAGCATGATCGCGGCCTCAGGCCTACAACGTAATCTGGTCCGCTGGCTGTGTTGTTACCTTAGAGGCAGGATGGCTTCCTGCCTCTATCTGAGAACAAGGTCCCTCTTCAGAACAATCCATTCTGGAGTTCCCCAAGTGTCGGTCATCTCACAAGCCCTATTCAACTACTTCATCTCGGATATACCTGTTCTGACCCCTAACATCGCCTCATATGCAGACGACCTCACTATTTTTGTGTCGTCCCCAAGGCTCGACGCCGCGGAGGCTGACCTCTCTGAACTTCTCTGGGGCGTCTCAGACTGGTCGACCGCCAAGAAACTGGCCGTGGCTCCTGGGAAATCCTCAGTCACGCTCTTCACCCCCGACACTCACCAATCCCGTCTACACCCCTCTGCAACAATCTGCAATGGCATCATCCCCTTTGACAAAACCCCCAAAATACTATGGGTCACCTGGGATACCCATTTTACGTTCTCTCTTCATGTCAGAGCCATAGCCACCAAAGCAACGGGCTCTTTACGCATCTTAAAAGCCCTAGCCGGCACCAACTGAGGCTTCTGCAAGGAAGACATCATTGCCACTTACCGCACAATTACTCGCCCAATCCTCAATTATGCTGCCCCCATCTGGTACCCAGTCGCCTCACGCACCGCAATTGCAAGTCTCCAAATCATCCAAAACTCAGCCCTGAGACTAGCCACCGGCTGCCTCAAGATGGCCCCAATCGCCCATCTCCACCATGAGTCCGGCGTCCTCCCCCTGTCCGCCCACCTGGATCTGGCCTGTGCTCAATTTCTCGCCAGCGCCCTCCAGCCTACCCATACTTCTTTCAACATCGTCTCCGCTCCCCCCGGAGACCGCCCCATGAAAGCTTCAATCAAGACGAGATTCAGCCACCTTGTGGCGCCTTTCCTGGCAGACGGCATTATGCCCGACGGTGCCTATGGAGAGGCAAAACGCTCCCTCCGCAGGGAGATAGCCTCCCGTGTTGCGGCGACTGCCGTTAACAACGCTCTCCTCACAACCCCACCACCACCGATTGCACCTGAAGAGGCCTCGCTCCCTCGCCCTTACCGCTCAGCGCTATCCCAGCTACGCTCGGGATACTGCAGCTCCCTTGCGTCCTACACCCACAGGGTAGGATGCTCCCTTAGCGCCGCTTGCCCGGAGTGCGGGGATCCCCTCCAATCCGTCCAGCACCTCTTCGTCTGCCCCGCCTTCCCCACTTCCCTCAGCGTCTCATCATTGTGGGACAACCCCGTGGAGACGTCGGCGTTCCGGGTCACCCTCCCTGCTTTCGCCAATCTTCCCCCTCTTCCGGTGCCACCCCTCCGACCACCACCAGAGCCTCCGCCCACGCGAGCGTGACGTTTGGCGCAAGAAACAACAACAACATGAGGAGCTACTCACAAGTAATGAGTATATTGTAAGGAGCTACTCACAATTGATGAGTAGATTGTGAGGAGCTACTTACAAGTACGTGGGAGGAAGCACGGTCCACTTGCCGCTCAGATCGCAGATCGAGAAGGCGTTGCTTCCATCGCCTGACCTGAGAGGAAGAAATACGATAGCTTTATTAGATGAAAGTTAAATCACAATTCACGTATAAATCGTTGGAGAAAATGAAAAAATTAGTAGAATTTACAGTTTAACTTTAATAACAAACTAATTCAGCTGACGGTCAAAACCACCGTCAGAAAATGTTTATTCACGTGCTTACGGAATCCATGCCTACGTTTTTCAAACATTAAAATTTTAAACCTTCACTATTGTTCAAACCGTTCTCCTTACTTCAATATTTTCAGATTTCTTTTCACTTTTCATAGCACAACATTTCTCATAGTTCATCTTACTCCTTCGGCCTCACTTGGCATCTGTACTTGCAAATTTTTCATCACCAATCATCTGGCGCACATGTTCCGACACACCTATTTTAATACACTCATCCTCGATTGCCACAACCATTGTACCTGACCTCAAGCTTGTCATCATTGCCACAATGGTTGTGGCCATCGATCAAAAACATCGAAAAAACAACCACGCATCGCCAATACCTGTAGCCCGGCATGCAGATGTAGTCCACCCTGGTATTGCAACCCTGCTATTACCCCTGACATCGCCAATACCTGTAGCCCGGCAAGCAGGTGTAGTCCACCCTGGTATTCACGTCGTAAGTTTTCGAGTCCCAAGTCCAGTTGGCGTTCAATGGCCTACTCGGGGGATCAGCTTCACATCCTTTGAAAATGAGAAAAAATTCCAGTTTTACGTACGACGTTCAAAGTTTTATAGACTACAAATTAATTTACCATTTAATTCATCATTTATAATTGAATACGCTTTCGAAATATCACAGAGATATGACCAATGTTAAAATCGCCACGCATGCTCCGAGTATGAACGCCTTCAAGAACAGACTAGACGAAGCTATGCAGAATCATATGTTCAGTCTCAAAATGCCTATCAAATTACGGACCAGGCAATAAGTCCAGCAGCTATCTCAATCAATCGTCAGTTATAGAAAGACCGGGTTCCAAAGGCCGAATCCCTTGTGAATCAAGTCACGAAAAGTACAAGAATCGGCAACAGGCCATGGGCCTATTTCTTCAGTGTCGACACTTCTATTCTATTCTATTCTATGCCCTACTGGAACAAATTAAAAATCACCGAGAACGTTTTATGCATTCAAATGGAAGAAAGTTTCGATTAGAAATTGTTAGCGCATTTTCTCATTTATGGAAAAAATGCACTATTGTGCTCGCCATGTCCGTCTGTCTGTCCGTCCGTCTGTCCGTCCGTCGTGACCCCAAGTTTTCGTCGACGAGAAAATGCGCTCTCTGTCACTCACTGCAGTGAGTACTGAGTTCCATTTTTTTATCATAAGTTCGTTACTGCATCCGGTGAGTTCCTCAAGGCCGGGTTTACACCATATTGCCAGGCGCGTGCCACTCACGGTCCAGTCCAATATTCTTTAATGTATTTCTGTCAAATCATTCACACCAGCCGTACAAGGCACCTGCCAAGCCCTTGGTGTGAATGCTTCTATGGAAATAATGCATTAAGGAATATTGGACTGGACCGTGATTGTCATATGCCTGACATGTGGCCTGCAGTATGGTGTGAACCCGGCCTTGTAGTTGAAACGAAAACAATCGTCTAATTTTGGTTGAACCAACGAGATTTTAACCTCAACTTCTCACCTACATAAGCAAATTGTACGGTGTTAAAGCATGCAGGCAAGTAATTATGAGGTATTCAAAGTATTTTAACAATTTAAAGTATTTAATGACAAGTAACATAATTCATGACATTTCAATCGCTCACCCTCTTTGCAGGTGATGCCAGCTTCTAGGTCATTCCATTTCAGGGTATCATGGCTGCACGTTGAAATACCTTTGCCATGAGGGCTTACACTGCAAAAAATCAGAAAAATTAAAATTCTGAATCATGGTTATAAATTACTGAACAAAATATACCTGTTAGCTCTTTGGTTAAGATCAGCATTAAATTCCATTACAGTCTCTTTAGTAACCCTACAAATTGAACGAGGATACTAGAGTGCGAATGATACTAAGGAAGCACTTTCCTTTGCGAATTATTTACAGTGCTCATAAGTTGCTGCGATTTTTATCTGCCAAATATATAAGCCTTTGTGATCAATTTATCCCTCCCTTATTCTGAAAACGTAAAGATTATTGTAACGTATATATTTATATCATTGTACGCTAGCAGGAGCACTCAACTTATAAAAGCCGCGAGCAAGAACGTCACTATTTGCACGTAAAATAAATAATTGTAAACGGACAATTGCCGGTAGATAATTCTACTGAAAATCGAGTATAATTGAATCATGATAAGCGCCCGTGAACTTAGATGCACACTCCAGGCTAGCCATCTACGGCGAAATACGAAATCATCGGCCCACGAAAGCATCGACTTATGAAATGCAACTAATAATCAACTTAATTACTCCTGGAAACAGCGGGCTCTGACAAAATTGTGAATTAATACACATGCATCCAAACGAACAACTATTACAAAACTAAAATTTTAATTCAAGATGTTAATGTATGGAACACAGAGGGTTATAGTGGAAAAACTATGACCACATTGTACAAGGCAGACTACATTTTTGCTGCATCGATCAACGATCGCTAGAGCGCCATGAAATGTGCGACCTCGGCTGCCTAGAAACCGAGGCACAAAACATTCAAACTGTAACTCAGGGTCAGACTAAAATGGTGATGCTTCATGGAGGTAAAATATCGATAAGTAAGCAATGAACATAGATTTTATAGGATAACATATCATCACAGACGACTTATTCTCGGCGGTATTTTACTATTCTTTGCATAAGTGATAGAAAGCAATTGATTTTCCATTATTAGTTAATTGCAAAACTTGAAAACATGTAACCATATGTTTGATGGAGGATGGAATTGCAAAATCACTTGTAAAAATTATTATATTGCTGATAATAAAGCCAACATTGACGTCAAATTTGCGCATTGGAATTTCAAGCAACACTGATTTGCCTGGTAGATTTTAACTCCTTTTTCAACCAACAATCGAACCGAATTTATCGCACATGTGCGACCAAGCCTTGGTTCTATTTTTCTGGAATGTTTTCCTTACCTGAAACAAGAAATAAACAAGCCATTTTTTCTTAAATGTTGTTTCATAATTTCTTTATGCACCAACTCAAAAACAGCATGTTGTATCCTCGTATTTATTCTCTATCATAGTCTTCGGAAAATTTCACTACAAGCACTCGAATAATGAGACAAGTTACACCCACTATTGGGTTCTGTCGCAGACGTAGGTGGCCTTTACGCCCGGCAGCGAGACGCCTGACCACTGCCGCGTCACCACCAGGCTTTCTGGTGGCAAGTTGCTGCAATTCACCACTGACCGAAGGAAAACACTTAGGTTAAAGAAATGTCTGAAATTTTGTATGCGTGGGAGGTGACGTTCTATTTTTGTAGAGGTTGCAGAACAGCGACTGTTCAGATGATCGGACACAATTCATTTTCTTATCCTACAGCAGGCAATTCAGTTAGACAGCCAAAAATTTCGTATGAAAATTTGTCCAGTAAACATTTGTTATTATATCTGATTTGTTCATAACAGGAAATATATTGCTGCAGTCTCATAAAACTGATGTTTCCCTATTGACTGATGCTAACCTGTAGGCTCGGTGAGGCTGTAAAGGCCGCCGTAGAACTGCCAAGTTCCATTGTATGCGGACCGCGCATCATCTAAATTTTGCTTCCACTGCCCGAAAATAAATTTACCAGATTTGAACATTATAATTGTAAAATATATCGTTTAGTAATCTCAGTGCAAATTTATACCTAAAGCACATCGCATAGCATAGAATTGGTTGGTATATCGTTCATAAAAATCGCAAAATTATAGAGGGGACTATGAGAAAACCCTGAACTGTTAAACTAATACAGTATAAAATATTAAATATTTCTAATATTGTTATATTTCTTAATTAAGTATGAACAAACAGAAAATTTCCATCAGTCATACGAATAAAGTATCTTAAAAGTTCACATAGATGATAAATAAATATTGATCAGTGAGAGCTGAAGACGATATTGCAACGATGCCCCTAGACACTCACGAAGGGGACCAAGCTGACGTTGTTGCCCCGCATGATAATCTCAAGATCGTAGGTTGATAACGGACTTACGACCTGCCTGCTGCCAGTCACGTAATAGGTCTCGATGCGGTTGGCAAGTACTGTTCCTCCAAACACTTGAATCGCACCAATCAGCTGTTCCAATGTATATAAATCACAATGATTACTTAAATTATGAATAAAAGAATATTATCTTCACTATACATGATGAACATATTATTATCTGTAACAGCAGAAGATGTGATAAGTAGCGTACCGTGTCTGAGACGTTTTTCTCCGCTACTTGTGTCTGGTTCACGGTTCCGACCATTGCGTACATAACTGTGTTGTTGACGGTGATCTTTGCATTCAGTCGAATTACTGCAATAGGAAAAACGAACGATTCGATATGAGCAGTTGATGTAAGCATGGCAAATAATTCTGTTCCATGATTTTAACAGTTTGGTTTTTCCTTATCATCTATTCTCTACTTCTTTTGTAATTGTTGTAACGACGTTCGTTTCGTTAATTTGTTCATTAACGTGTCCAATTACTTGGGATAGGCATAATATCTAACTTCTTTTTTAACGACAAATTGTTTTCGGTAAGTAAAGAAAAAACCGGTACAGGAACGTCTTCTCAAACTAGTAGCTGCGGACGAAAACTCTGCCGCCTTCTTATTCATATGAATTCACAAGTGATTTCTCGGCACGTTTTGAATTTTGTGTGCTGCTTGAAGTTCCTTCCAAAAAACACTGAAGTATTCTCATTAATATGAATTCACAATAAATTTCTCATTCATATGAATTCACAATAAATTTCTTATTCATATGAATTCAGAAGAAATTTCTTATTCATATGAATTCACAATAAATCTCTCATTCATATGAATTCACAAGATGATGGAATTCTTATTCATATGAAGGAAGGAATTTCACAAGGAATTTCTTATTCATATGAAGTCAACAGAAATTCTTTATTCATATGAATTCACAAGAAATTTCTTATTCATATGAATTCACAAGAAATTTCTTATTCATACGAAGTCAAAAGAAATTCCTTATTCATATGATTTCACAAGGAATTTCTTATTCATATGAATTCAAAAGAAGTTTCTCATTCATATGAATTCACAAGAAATTTCTTTTTCATACGAATTCACAAGAAATCTCTCATTCAAATGAATTCACAAGAAATTTCTTATTCAGATGAATTCACAAGAAATTTCTCATTCATATGAATTCACAGGAAGTTTCTTATTCATATGAAGTCAAAATAAAATTCTTATTCACATGAATTTACATGAAATTTCTTATTCATATGACGAGGCCTATGTAGTAGCTGGATTAACTAATGTACTCCATCATTTACCTTAAAAGCTGCAAAGATGACGACGTCATACAGAATAATACAACGCAATATTTCATACAGAATAAAATAACGCTTGTCATACAGAAAAATACAACGCAATATGCCATGCAAAATAATATTCATGGAGTCATGGAAAGCAGCAGCGCTGTTAATGCAGCATTTCATTGCAATACGTCATATTTGGTGCGTCATTGAACATATGGAAGAATATACTACGTGCGTGTGAGGAAAAAATGAAATATATTATAGGAAGACATGCTAAGCAATGAGACACGTGCTGCCAGATCATACAAAACGCACAATAGAAACAATTCACTTATGTTTTTATGAGTATTGGATGATTTACCTTGCTGCAGCCATTTGTTTGCAATTAAATAGCCATTCTCCTGCGGGAGAACTTTTATTATTATTAAAATTTAAGATTTTAATAGAAAAATTTCGACCTCATCTTGATATGAAACTCAAGAGTATTTGATAAAATGCTCAACAACAGTTCAACAGTTTCATCGTTAAAATCGTAAAATGTTAATTGAAAGAAGCAAGTAACGGTTCAGCTGTATATTATTCCAAGAATGTTCTCTTTCCCCTCAAAATGTAACATATTTAGACAGAATCGCTCGAATGAAATCGCGCGTCAGTGATATTTTTCTTAAGTAGTTGCAAGTCTTATCCAACAAAAAGTTATAGTTTAAAGATGCACAAAGAGTGCGAGGTACAACTTCAAGCATATTCCGTCAACACAAAATAGAGCTGCTATCGTCCGTTACAGAACAACAAATAAAAAAACACGCTTTAAAAAATTTGAAGCCAAACTTGCCATTAAAAGATAGAAGCCTCTGCGAAGATAAGAAAACGTTGATAATAGCGCTACGCATCATTACGTTCTCATCTCATTCATACTTCTTGTCATTACCCTAAAACTTGGAAGTAACAGTATACAAAATACTACAAATAAATTACACAAAACACTACGTTAGCATTACTACGCTTAAACTTATATGATTTCGACTAGATCAACAGAGACGGCCGCCAAAAGCACGACTCACATGCATTAATGACCAGTAATGCTAGCAAACAATGTATCGTTATAAACTGGTCCTGTCAATAACTTCAATAACATATAACAGGATATCTTCCAATCAAACTGGGCACCTAATAAACATTTTTCAGAATGCCATAAATGAGAACCACAATTTTCGCACAGTATTTTCTTTTAAACGCTGAGCGCTTTTTCTTTAAACCGCCCTATTATGAGGAAGCTTTCTTATTGCTCGCATAGTGATTCCTTGCCAGGAGGTAGCAGTCTTTGCTCATAAGTTTTATTAATCACGTAATATTTAAGGCTGGTGTCTCCACAATATCGAAGTTCACGGAGAAGAGCAAGATCCTGGCCTCTGAACCTGCATCAAGACCGGACGACCTACCAAGTGACATCTCGCCCGTTCACAGTGCAACACAAAGAAGCAAAACCCGTCATCTTCAAATTATATGAATTAATAATTAGGTACCGTCGGCTCCTTAGACTCTTAAATGTATTGTATAACCTGCCATAATTTATAATATTTCAGAATCCCACAAAAGGATCGCAGCAGACATGGTGACAGTTGATGAGTCTAGAGTGTAGAATACGATGGATTGGAACGCGACTTCTCGAAGCACAATATTTCTTGGCAGTTCAGTAAAGCTCAGCGTTAAAGTCCTTATAATTAACCAGAAGGTTTCAGCGCCACGCACATAGTACGTTAGAAAAATTACTTAAGTCAAGCCTAATGAGACACAATATTTTACACTATTGTTCACAAATACTATAATAGTTGCGTTATTTATGCTCAAAGCGTGAAGGCGAGAATTCTAAGATCATGACTAAGTTGTCATTTAGAAGTAATCACCGACGCCCATGGCGTAATTCAATCATCATTCTTATTTAGTAACTTCAACTCATCAGATTGCTTTGAAGCATGAAAAGGCTTAACTCCAATCCCGCTGATCAAGTTGAATCTCATAAGTGGGCCGCTTCTGGTGTCTATGAACGGGAATATAAAAAAAATGGAGTGCAAGAAGATGTCGATCAGATGTGTCACACCGCTTCAATTGCCGTGCATTCCTCAGAAAGGGCATACAACATATATCCTCATATTCAACAAAACCTAGCAACGAAAAACATAATAAGCAAATGTCTTTGACTCCTGAAAATCTTATGCACGATACAAATAAATGAGAGCATGTAGTTTTCCCATACCTTCTTCACTTCAGTTGCTGCAAGTGGTCTTATGAACGAAGGAAAACAACGTTCAATCGACAGTTGAAGCGTTAGAATACGTTCATGAGGGATTAAAACTGTCGTCGCCTCATGCGTCACTAAATGACTTCAATGATGAGAGGAAAGATCAAGTGTCTGTCTCATCTAGAATCGTTGAAATTGGTTGAACATAGCCAAAACAATCGATAAATTACCATGAGATTAGTTAAAATTCAGATATCGTTTTCCTCGATTTGAAAAATGCAGCATAAAGAAATGGTTTTGCTTCAAGGTACGATAAGGCAGTTTGCACGGATTTAACATCGATATCTAGCGAAACAAACACAACTAAAACGGCACAAAATGCAAGGCAAATTTCACAGATTACAAGTAGCGATACACAATACAATAAAATTAGAAGCTGTGCAATAGTAACAAAGTTTGCTTAGGGATGAACAGCGTGTTCTCTTTGGTGTCAAAGGTAACCAAAAGTAGACGAAACGAGAAAACACTCGACGCATAAGTGGACACAAATATCTTAATTGAAAATATATGACTTTGGTAAAAATAATGACAAGAATAGCACATACTTTCATAGCTAACTGCTGGCCGGAAGAATGTTATTAAAACGCTGTTGAGTGAACGAAAGGCAAGATTGGCAACACTTTTCATCGCTATGAAGAAGTAAGGAAAGAGAATCTAAGAAATGTTCATTAGAACCATTACCGTAGGACATATTAACCTAAATAGAAATAATGCATCAGATATAAAAGTAGAGGTTCCAGCAACTGCAATTCGTGTAGCAAAGCTCCAAGAGGAATGTAGTGAATAAAAAATGTGACCGGAATGATAAGAGATGATGAAGTGAGGCGTGTACGAGAAAATAACTCAATGTAACAAGGAATATAAATCTAGAGGAAACGTAACTTTGGAAAGAAGAAAGGCATTCGTTTAAAGAAATTAATAATATTTTCTAATGAAGACTCAACGGCATCATTCATTACCTGCAAATAGAACGAAAAAACGAGAACGATGATCGTTTACAGTGAAACAGAAATATAACGCGCTTGAATCTTGATAAAAAATAATAATCACAAAACGAGTTTAAAAAATGTATAAAATTTAGAAGGGATCAACTTCTCAGCGTTAGGTGTAATAAAATCAATGATAGCAGAAACCATAAAATGTCATGACACTTTCTCCTGACAATGAAACAAAGAAAAATAAGCAAATTAAAACGACAAAGATTGCTATTCGTCATGTAAAAAAGTACAAAAATTTAGTCAACGTTTGCTATGTCGTAAGAAAAAACATCTAAAGACGGAATACGTTCAACGCATGATGACATCTCGTAGGCATTACACTAATAAAAATTTCCAAGCGGATTCCAAAAATAAGAAATAGACGAGAAAATTTCGGCAGAATTCCAGCCAGTAAGATAAAAAAATATGAGATTCAACATTAATAACAAAAAGGACGTGTCAAGTTCGACCAGATGTAAAACTAACAAAACTAACACTATCTTGTCAAGCGTCCATGCGACAGTCAGACTTACCAGGTCAATGCTAATCGAGTCGAGGCAATGGCCGTGTCCAACGCTACGAAAATGACCCTACAAAATATAAGATGATGTGTATACTCATACTCATTTTCACTGATACTCATTTTCATTAGAAATCAAGAAACATTTATTAAGAAATTTAAAGGCTTTGAACTGATAAACATAAAAATAAAGCAAAAAAGTGTAGCAACCGAAAGAGTTTTTCCATCAGGGTTTTTAATGGAAATGACAGGTGTAATGATAATTGTTCAAAGTTTAAGAAGATGAACTTGGTTACCTCTCAGTCGCGTGTTATAGACAAGAGTTGCAAAGCAAGCATGCAATACTTGTGAACTTCGTGTCACATGTTAGAATCTAATGCAGTATTTGACGAGTTGAACATTAACACGCAAGGCAAGCCGAAGGCGAATGTATCCATTTGGCGAAATAAATCGCACAGAATTCTTAGTAAATAATACAAATGATTTTCTTGACAAAAATATTGACGTGTCGAAATGTAAGACTATACTGGGCTACTTTGTCGACGATGGCACTGTTCAGCCAACGCGCACTTCTTTAATCAAAATTCGAGAAAATACTGAAGCGTTTAGATGAAGTAAACCAAAGCCATTTAATGTTTTATCAGTCAAACCGTGGAAATAATATAGATTAGTAATACGATGCTCAACACAGACTCAGTCCCAAACATGACCAGCCATCAAGCAAATGCCCGATATGACGCGAAGATGATATTCGACAACAGAATTCAGAATGAAGAAAATGGAATGATTCTTCTTTTAGAAAGTTTTCAAATGTTATTTATATCGACACAATTAAACAAATATAATTAACTGTTACTTTCGAAACACGGATTTGCAGCGTAGTAAAATCAACAAGCAAATGCTAACATGATGCTTATAGCTGGTAGATGCGAGAAAATATGATTAGTAACTTTAAAAGCACAAACTTCATTTGAAGAACAAAATTTCGCCCATTTAAACGAAAAAAAAATTATATGATTACCATAAGAGAGGATAGAGAAATTTTTAGTTCTTGGGTTTGGGACGATCATCTAGAGGCGACACTGCAGCAGCTATTTGCTGGTAGCTATCCAAAAAAAAGGAAATTATCTAGATAAAATGACGAAAAAAAAAATCACATCGAAGGTTTGAATTCTCCCGTAGCAAAACATGTAAAACTTCTCGGGGGCAAGTGTTAAAGGAATGAACATTTTCTCCATATGTGTTTCATTTTAATGGAATTCTCTGATGGTCCATTGAGAGAAGGAACGACGAAATTATCGCATTATGAAAATTTCCGCGTTAAGCAAGTTACTAGATCTTGCTTAAGTATAAAGACTCTTGGTACCCAGATATACAGTGTGTACCTACTCAGCCACACTGACTGGGCACTAAAATTATTGCTATTTTATTTGCTCATTCGAAGGAGATGAGATTCTCAGGGAGGGAAGATGTGGACTCGGTGAGGGCGTGAGAGATACGCGCGAGCCAACAGCGTGCCGCCGTCACGGAGGGCGCTCTGAACTTGTAGATTGTGTTGCTGGCTTGGTCGGACACCTGCAACATCAACACAATGAGTGCTGTTAGTAGTGTTGCTGGCTTGGTCAGATACCTGCAACATCAACACAATGAGTGATGTTAGTGGTGTTGCTTGCTTGGTCTGACACCTGCAACATCAACACAATGAGTGCTGTTAGTAGTGTTGCTGACTTGGTCAGACACCTGCAACATCAACACAATTTATGTCAAAGCACTATTAGCAACATCGTACTTTAACGTTTTGAAACACATATCGGTATAATTAAGCCGAATTTGTTAATTAACGTGACTTTTGGTAAAGAACAGTGAGTAATTCCCATAATAATTTTTTATAATTTAAATACAATTTTCTACTAAAAGTCTAATTCGCTAAACTGAAGAGAACAATGGGAATGAATTAAAAATAAATGACGATACAAGAGCAGTTAGGAAATAAACCATTCAGAAAAATAATAAACCTAAGGCTCAATGCTAGAGTTATTAAAAATTACATAAGTTTCGGTTTCCGCATAGAAGTCAAGGTTGCACGTACATGTACGTAGGGTCTAGCCTCGTCTGGACCACTGACGCAACACAATGGCCAACAACAACAAGAACTACAACCACAACAACAAAATATATAATAAAAACGTTATGGTTGACCTGGAACATGTCTAGCTGCGAGGTTCCGTCCTGATGAGGACCAAATAGCAGCACTTTGCTATCGGCGGTGACGAGAGGCTGGAGCTTGCAAGGCGAGTTCTTGAAGTCCGCGCGCTCGAGACCTCGCGACGCCAGTGACTTGGGGTGGTAGTAGACCAGCGCCCCGCCCCATAGCTGAACCTGAGCAATACTCGCGCGTTATGTGCCAATAATGCTATGGTTACAGCATGAATATGCATATTAGTGACACCACACACTTAAAATGTCGAGTTAAAAATAATTAAATACAGATGCCCTCTCCTTCTAGGACCGTGGCGGCAAGGACGGCCTGTCTAACAGGGGCGACGCTCTAGCGCGGCCTGCTACGACCGAAACGCGTAGGAAGTTTATATAATGAGCAAATAGTTATTGTATCTTAACAAGATACATAAATTCACTCGGAAAAAACTGAAAATCTTTCATTCCCTATAAACAGGCCTGAGGATTTGATATAAAGGGTAACCAGCATTACCCAGTATCTGTGCCAGGCACCGACGGGAGGCTTCCTGCCGTCCTTGAGGACAGTCTTGCGGCGCAGCGGCCCCTGCATGACGCAACTCTCACGGCCGCGCTGTACAGCGGCCACCGCCTCACACTCCTCCGTCGACACGCCCGACCTGAGTCAGCGTTACGAATAGAAACGGGCCTTAGAAACTTACAGTATACATTCTCTACATTATTTATAAGTCGCTTTATTGGCTTTATTTTATCTTAATTTTCTACACACTTGAGTATATTGATGTAGGCGTAGGTATTGAGGAACCCTACTTTAAAGAGAATCTTGTGAAGGGTAAATAAAAAAGTATTACGGTTGAATGATTAATATTTTGTCTAGCAACTTTTCTTTGACATGGAAGCCATTAATTATAATGACAGAGGAATTGAGAATTACACTTCATTGAATTTTGAAGAACATAAAAAATCATGAACTAATCATACTAATCAGGAGTGCAACGACCAAACGTCGTTGACGGACATCTTGAGGAGTAAATGATGTAAGTCAAATGGATTAAATGTTGTACACCTTCGTCAAACTCCTGTAATTTCTCTTACGAGCGTCGTAAAGCTAATGAAAGTTCGGCCTCAAAATCATCAGGCCTGGAGCTTCGATGATTTTTAAAAGGACGGAATTATGAAAGAAAAAGCTAAGTCATCGAACAGATCATTTACTAAAACGTTGCGTAATAAAGTACATTCATCATCAGAGAATTCCATTATATCTCCTGTATATACAAGCAGATACAGCAGAATAGTGAGAGTCTTTCGGGGTGTTTATATTGGCTATCATCAATCCCCCTTCAAAAACATGGACAGAACGGTTTGTCTGATTATTCATGGTATGCTGAGCAGTAATTTACCAGCACTGTAGAAGATAGAATTTAAGCAAAGATGTCCTCACCAGCTTCTAATGAGGAGCGTGCGGCTGGCTGGCTGTTGCCTGTCCACTGTATTGGCCATCAATAATCTCCCTTCAAAAACATGGACGGAATGGTCCATGGGTTATTCATGGTATACTGGACAGTAATTTACCAGCACTGTATAAGATAGAATTTAACTAAACTAAATATTTCCTCACCAGCTTCTAGTGAGGAGAGTGCGGCTGGCTGTGGCCTGTCCACCCCCGTTAAGAGTGACCGCGCTGTCGTCGGGCGCGCAGGCGCTGGTGCCGTTAGCGCAGCGCTGCATGAGGCTCGATGGAGGAGGTGGAGGTAGTAGATTTAAAGGTTCCAGCTCGGAGTCGTCGAGTAAATGTTTGGAGCCGTGGTGGCTCGGACAAGAAGGATCGTGGGCTATGGCGCCGCCAAGACTCGATAAGGAATCGCACCTCGAGCCTTCGGATGATGACGTCGTCGTGATCGAGCATCCGCGGAAAATGCTGCATTTTGTCAATGGATCAATGATAAAGAATTAGTAAGATCGTCAGTGGAAAAATATATATTTTAGTTTCACTGATATATGGTACAGTAATATTTCCATTTTCATTCGCATTTCACAAGACTTCAATATAAATTATACAGCACTGTGGCAGTTGATTAGGAAGTGTCTAGAGTAGCAACCCATGAGACCAAATAAGAAGGCTTCACAAGTGATTCAATTGATCCTCCAAATGAAGGCAATAAACCAACACCTTCAGTTATGAAATTTAAGGGCGGACTGGGGCAACACAACGCCTGACCAACCACATCCCAAAGCCGTTCACCACGAATATGCAACTATATAGTCTAAAAATAGCTTTGACAATTTTTACAGAATTCTATGAGAAAAATTTCACGGGGGCCAAAAAGTTATTAAAATGTTGTTTGGCCTGGATTTGCAACGTTTGTGTCGTCTTGATTCTGATGCTTCAAGTACTGAACGTGTTTTGTTACGAATTTAATGACGCCAATAACAAGACAGTCGTTTGGAGTGGATGTTTGATGATAATTAGAAATATTTTGAGGGCAAACTCAAATGCAATGCAGTGTTCATGTCATATAATGAATAACACAAACAAAGTAATTACTTAGGACGAACAAAAGGCATTCATACGCTAAAAAAAGCTTCGTTTCACGCAAAGTTAAAAAAACTGTTTCAAAACTTAAAGCTTTAAAATTTTATGGTGTCTAATACAATACGAAAATAAAAAAATAGCAGCACTCGTGAAAATTGTTCAAACAACAGAACTCGAAACTGACAGGTAAAATTCCANAGCTAATCCAGGAACAATCTGTCTCTTATACACATCTAGATGTGTATAAGAGACAGGCTTCCTGCCGTCCTTAAGGACAGTCTTGCGGCGCAGCGGCCCCTGCATGACGCAACTCTCACGGCCGCGTTGTACAGCGGCCACCGCCTCACACTCCTCCGTCGACACGCCCGACCTGAGTCAGCGTTACGAATAGAAACAAGCCTTAGAAACTTACAGTACCTATATACTACTCTATATTATTTATAAGTCGGTTTATTAGGGCTTTATTTTATATAAAGTCTTGCATGCATAATTTTATACAAACTTGAGTACATTGATGAAGGTGTAGGTATTGAGGAACTTAACTTGAAAGAAAATCTCGTGAAGGGTAAATAAAAAATAAAAGTATTACGGTATAATGATTAATATCTTTTCTGGCAACTTTTCTTTGACATGGAAGCCATTAATTATAATGATCGAAGTATTGAGAATCACACTATATTGAATTTAAAAATGATAAAAATCATGAACTTATCATAATGATCAGGAGTGCAACGACCAAGCGTAGCACTCCTGTATCTACATGCAGATATACGTAGCAGAATAGTGCGAGTCTTTTTGGGTGTTCTGTATTGACTATCATCAATCTCCCTTCAAAAACATGGACGGAATGGTTTATTCATGGTAAACTGGACAGTAATTTACATCCCTGTAAAGGATAGAATTAAACCAAATATTTCCTCACCAGCTTCTAGTGAGGAGCGTTTGGCTGGCTGTGGCCTGTCCACTGTATTGGCTATCATTAATCTCCCTTCAAAAACATGGATGGAATGGTCCATGGGTTATTCATGGTACACTGAACAGTAATTTACCAGCACTGTAGAAGATAGAATTTAAGTAAAGATGTCCTCACCAGCTTCTAGTGAGGAGCGTACGGCTGGCTGTGGCCTGTCCACCCCCGTTAAGAGTGACCGCGCTGTCGTCGGGCGCGCAGGCGCTGGTGCCGTTAGCGCAGCGCTGCATGAGGCTCGATGGAGGAGGTGGAGGTAGTAGATTTAAAGGTTCCATCTCGGAGTCGTCGAGTAAATGTTTGGAGCCGTGGTGGCTCGGACAAGAAGGATCGTGGGCTATGGCGCCGCCAAGACTTGATAAGGAATCGCACCTCGAGCCTTCGGACGATGACGTCGTCGTGATCGAGCATCCGCGGAAAATGCTGCATTTTGTCAATGGATCAATGATAAAGAATTAGTAAGATCGTCAGTGGAAAAATATATATTTTAGTTTCACTGATATATGGTACAGTAATATTTCCATTTTCATTCGCATTTCACAAGACTTCAATATAAATTATACAGCACTGTGGCAGTTGATTAGGAAGTGTCTAGAGTAGCAACCCATGAGACCAAATAAGAAGGCTTCACAAGTGATTCAATTGATCCTCCAAATGAAGGCAATAAACCAACACCTTCAGTTATGAAATTTAAGGGCGGACTGGGGCAACACAACGCCTGACCAACCACATCCCAACGCCGTTCACCACGAATAAACGAACTATATAGTCTAAAAATAGCTTTGACAATTTTTACAGAATTCTATGAGAAAAAATTCACGGGGGCCAAAAAATTATTAAAGTGTTGTTTGGCATGAATTTGAAACGTTTGTGTCGTTTTGATTCTGATGCTTCAAATACTGAACGTGCTTTGTTAAAAATTTCATGACGCCAATAACAAGACAGTCGTTTGGAGTGGGTGTTTGATGATAGTTAGAAATACAGTACTTTGAGGGCAAACTCAAAGGCAATGCAGTGTTCATGTCACATAATGAATAACAAACAAAGTAATTACTTATGATGAACAAAAGGAATTCATACGCTAAAAAAGCTTCGTTTCACACAAAGTTAAAAAAACTGTTTCAAAACTTAAAGCTTTAAAATTTTATGGTGTCTAATACAATACGAAAATAAAAAAATAGCAGCACTCGTGAAAATTGTTCAAACAACAGAACTCGAAACTCACAGGTGAAATTCCAGGTAATTTTAAATCAAAATAAATTATGCACACAAAAATTGCATTCAAAAAACGAAGCAAGCAATTATTAAAGAGCATGGGATGTAAAAGCATACAGATGAGCAACCCAGAAGCGTGCACTGTGGCTCATTTAAGGCGCCTCAACAATAAAAAATCAGCGGCTGTCCTGAGATTATTAAAATTTATCGTATCAAACTTCTCATTGCATCCAGCGTGTTTTATTTTCTTGAATTACCTTAATTCCACAACAATTTATAGGAATCATCTATCATAGGATCATCTTTTGAAGTTTTAGAGTGAATCTGCGAGCGAGCCATTCTAGCATTACAATTGTTATCGTACATTAAATTTTATGTCGACCGTCAAATCAGTCGAGAAGGTGGCACCATTTGTTTCAAGACGTGAAAAATAATTAAGATCCGAAACTTTCTCAGATATAAGCATATCAAAGCTAAGAAATTGGCTAAACGATGGTTCACCGACAATAATCGGAAGAAAAGTAAATTTATAGTCTGCATGATTAGAGTCACTTGGGTTTAGACTGAACCACAGATGAATCTTGACATGGAAGGCTGTACATAAATGATTACAGAGCATTGAAAAGTTTCACATCAGCTTCGCTTTAGCTAAAAAAAAATAAATCACAAAAAAATATAAATGAAACACATGTAAAGCAGAAGAGAGCCAGGATGCAGTGGTAAAGGGAACAGAGAGTGCGTGCGAAAACAAGCGAATACAACGTTGATATGATACAAAAAACGCAACATAAATTTAGCGATGCAAGTCACAAGCACACCAAATGAAAATACGGTGACTTCATCAAAATAACGCTTCTTTCATTACTGAACGGTAGAAAAATCATCACATACCAACGCGGAATAAGACCACGGATTATTATATGTCTGGGTACACCTTGCACACCTTAATTACTCGTGTAATTTTTCTTACGAGCGTCGTATAGCTAATGCAAGTTCAGCCCCGAAATCATCAGGACTGGAACTTCGATGATTTTGAAAAGGACGGAATTATAAAAGAAAGAGAAAGTCGTCGAACAGATCACTTACTAAACTCCAGTAGAGCAAGTTGAATGATGAATTCCAGATGAATTTAAGTATTTTTGCTTTTGATCAACAAGAAAGTATATTTGATGGGTAATAGTGCACGAAAGCTTATTTAATGCTGGTCTAACAGTGATAAACCTGAAGTGCAGGTCCAACAACACTATTCCGTGCAAATCAAGTAGTGCAAACGGTATTAGTGATGATTCAACGAAGCTAATCCAGGAACAATAGTCCAGTGGTGCTAGTGAATTAGTACTATTCCAATAGTGCTAACCCCATAGTCCAAATGAGTCCAAATAAGCTGGTCCAGTTGTGCCGTTCATTAAGTAACATAAAATACCGCAAGGCGCTAAAGAGTGCGGCAGCTCCTAAGTTCAATATGGTAGTGAGTATTGGACGGCCACGGAGTTCCCCCAAGTTCCCCAAGAGGTCTTCATGAAATCTGCTGGTGTCCGCACTACAAGCCGGATCCAACAACCAGAAAACCTATGCAATTAATACAGCGCCTTGAACTCAGCACCAGCTGCGTTAAGAACTTGCATTACAAATCATTGGAGCGCCTGGACTCGCTGCTCTCCTTCGCATCAAAAACGTAAAAAAATTTTCTCTCGAGTCGCCGGAAGAAAATGAATGACACGCGCCTCCATTCTGAAAATTCCGACAGCTGGAGTTCAAAATAATCGGAGCCTTCAAGCAAAGGAATTTGAAAAAAATTGTAAGGCATGTAAATAATGGGCATTAAAAAATATCGGAATCATTCAAGATGGGTATATTCTACGGGCTACTCACTGCTTCATAGAAATGAAACTGCAAACAAAATTATGAAAAACTCCATAAGCATTACATTATTTTAACATAAAACAAAAACCTACAACTCAGGTCGGTTACATGGGCATAGGATAATAAATCGAAACTCTCAGTAAAATAAACATAACAGGAATGGCACAGAACTGTAAACTGTTCCAAAATAGTCTGGTTACTGCGGTCAATTTCAATCCATACCCAGCTCGTCATATGAATTGCTTCACTGCACTTACCGTCAGTACCACTACAGTCAACCATCACCTATGTCACCGGCATTAACAGGTATTTTCCATGAACAAAACAGAACAACTTTCTAGCGAGATCAAGACAGTTTCGTACTTAAATTGAAGTAATCGAACCTTACAAATCGTAGTTCTGAACAATATTGTACGTTTTTTTCTTCTACGATTGGCAATTTAAGTGAAGTATCTGCTAAGTGCCGACTCGTGTGTCAGTGACGTTACAGCTGATGAGGTTCACTGCTTTGGAACAGTTTAGCAATTCTGTTTCGAGAAACACGCGTGCAGGTGCAGCAAACAATAATCATTCAATAAAATTTCCGCAATCAATGTGCAAACTAAAATTAGTTGAAAGACCACAGCACAGTCATTCAAAAACGGTTGTCAAGTTATCCGTTTAAAAAGACTTGCAAGCTTATAAGTTATTTTCAAGGGATAAATTCGAAGCACAAAATCAATGCAGTTCATTTGAGCGAACAGAAAAAACTAAAACTTAACCAAGGAAACAGAACTGTGTATTGTTGAATAAGCATTTAAATAATGTCAGATATTTCGAATCAGCGAAAACATACTTGAAAAAAATCTTTGTGTTGTTCATTACGAAGTCTGATATGTGAGAAAAAAAAATGGGGAATTAAGAAGGGTGAATGACACAAGTGAATCAATAATGAGTAGTAGCATCAATAAGCAATGATGTTTGTTCATTGAATATAATGATTAGGTGAGCTTGTCTCTCTTGCCGAAGAATAATGCGCTCTATCTCACTGTACAAACCAACTTGGCAGGCCCTCTCACATAAATGTGACTAGAATCATCAAGATTATAATTGTACTTCCAAGGACCCTAACGTAAAAGAGTACAATGATCTTTGCCGCACGTCATCAAAGTGAAAAAGTGAAGAAATAGAACTTTAATTGGCAAAGCTTAAGCTCGCTTCACGTGAAAAAAGAAAAAAATTGTAGTCAACTGTTTAGGCTTCAGAGGCAAAAATCTGAAATTTCTTCATGTATTTCTCGAGGGATCCGAAATTTGAGCATAACATCCATCGCAAGGTCAAGAATAGTGAAAATAACTGTCCATTTCCATCGGACTACAGCAAGTTCGGCATTCGTCGAAAACCTTCAAATGGAATATAGATCAACGTAAATTAATTGAGCCTTCCTACCACTATAATCTGGCTCATAATATTGGAAAATTGTTGAATATTTACCAGTGAATTAATTAACTCCATACCAAATACTATCTGTTTCCAACCAATTCGGCCTAGAGTCCCCATCCCACTAAATTCGGACGACTCACCCAAGTAATTACCTGTGTGTGCTCACTTGCACAAACCCCGCTCCCGAAACCCTATGGCCGAACTGTGGACAAATTTACCTACCGAATAAACACACAATTTCAACATTGTCACAACACGCCAATACTCGGGCATGAAAAGAAGCCTGTCACCAACAATCGACACGTCCCACAACTCAAAATTTAGATAAGCACAATATTTTAAGCGGGTTTTTAGCATCGTACGAAAGTTTTGTCACCCATACCCACGTCAGTAGGAGTCGAATATATATGTAGGTAATATAAGGAAATAACAATCCAAAGATTCGGAACTACAATGGTCAGCCATTGAAGAACCTTCCCATTTTTGTGAATACAAGAACCATAAATCTCCCCAACCTACCTTCAAGAAACTGACCCATGATCCAACACCAGGTGATGGAGCAAACCTTTCTTAAGACCTCAAGATACTCCCACGTAATAAGTACCGCGAGTTTGTTTAGGGAAACCAACCCATGGCCATGCTGAAAGAACCACCCATTCACGGCTACCAAGCGCCGCCTACCAAAGATACCGATAAATAAGCTTCCTACGCCTTGAACCCTCGGCATGCTCCTCTCATCTCAGTGCCACCATCATTGCGTATACAGTGATCCTAATCATTACGCTACAGTGACAATCAGCCTCCGAGCATAAAGCCAACCAAGATAGTGAGAAGCACAGTGTTCCAGGGCGCACTTAGTCACCAGAGTTACGGGTAGGTTACACTCACCCTAATCTGTCTACAAGGCTGGCAGCTTGGGGCTGTTGGTTGCTTCCTTCGGACCGGTGCAGGTTTCGAGGCAGGCTCATACTGCGAAACCTTCGATTACAAACACCACGATTATGCGAGCTTTCAGAACCATAGGAGCTTTTAGGTTATCCGTCGGAACAGTAAACATAGGTGCAGCTCACATTCAAGTTCCACAGTTGAATTAATTATTGATCAATATCTTCCTCAATTCATGACTTCCATTAATCGAAAATATCTAGAACTTTACACTTTTTCTAGAGATAAAAATATATCCCTCACATTGAATAATATAGACGACGTTGAAAAGTTCACCAAAAATATGATTCGTTGTCTCAAGTAACGATTTCTGGGACTTTAACCCGAACATTTAAAATAAAATTGAAATTATAAGTAATACCAATAATAACAATCGCTCGTGGGAATTAAAGAGTTAAAAAACTCATAATTAATCAAGTAGAAAATTATGAAAGAGAAACGCTCGGCCAAAACATAGATTAGTAAAGTATACAAAACAATTTTACTGGTCATGACAAAAAAAAATAAAAAAAAATTTCAGGACAAATGATCATGATTTGTTTCGATTGAGGCGATAAACAATGGCCTTTATTGAACACTATTTTTACAATTTAGGTATCAAATGCTGCTTAAACTAACGCAAATGATCTCTCGCTACTTAGCACAGCATTAATCTCGAATTATTGGAAAATATTCATCAAAAACAGAACATTTTTTGAATTGCGGAACGAGAGCTGCCCACACGCCTGTTGAAGGCAAGGGAATGCCCACACCATTCGGAACTCGCGGCAATAATAAGCTAATGAACATGGAAAATCACGATATTGACCGCATATGAAAATTGAATGAATTGACGATTTAAATATTTAAAAGGAACTAAGTTAGTATCCACGCACGCAACAGCCTTCATTGGACAGAAAGTGAGTTTTGAGTTCTAATTCGCGAACTGTGATAAGAGAATGCAATATCTGAGTGGTTATTCGTTACTGGTAATAAATTTTTATGCATTCTAATGATAACAAATGTACTGACATGAATTCATTTACTATGACTGACATGCTTATCCCCGTAAAAATCAAATTGCAAGTGCGACACTACGCAGCGATTTCCACTTACGGGGTAGGTTTGGGGGGGGGGGAAATTATCCTTTGTTTTATTTAATTTTGTGGAATAAAATTACAGCAATGCTTCCTTGAGAACCAGTAGCGCAGCGAACAAAGGCCCATATTTACAAGCGCTTAATATGTGCGCAGCAACACAAGTGTTAAATATTTGATCACAGCAACACAAGTGTTAAATATTTGATCACACGAGAAGACTATCACCAGCTATAGCCCAGGTCAGGAGTGCACAATACAGAGGTTGTAATTACCTCACAAAATAGCGCACATAACCCGGCACTTTCAAACGCGACCTGCAAATAAACATGTCTTCAATGTTCTCGTACGCGGGCCTGAGGACGCTCGTGTGATGTCGTTCATTTTTATAGGTATTTGAAATGCAGGCGGCTATAGACATGATAGAGTAAAATAAAAGGATGTCCAATTAGAACATATTACTTATAAATACACATAATGATAAAAATCACAAATAAGGAAAGAAATCCAGTTAATATCAAGATGATGAACAGAGTATTTTTAATAAAAGAATATATTTAATTATGCATAAGTCATAAACTTGCATATAAGGAGGAAGGAAACAATTGAAAAAGATCTTGAAATGATGGATGCAATTTGAAGAAACAGGATAATAAATGAGGTTAGGGGGCAGTTATAAATCAGTGTGCGCTGATAGTAAAGTCCACAGCGTAGAGCAAGCAGGACTGCACTAGGCAAGACAGGTGTAGGTAGAATCACAGCAGAATCAGTAAAAAAGTTTATATTCTGACGCAGGAGATTCTTGTGGGGATGGAACACAAGTGATGAGTGCGTTGTATGGGCACTTTGCGTTCACTGCCATTTGGTGTTGGCGCGCTATATAGTTCGTTTATTAACTTAGGTTTAAAGAAAATTTATTGGCATTTGACATTCTATTCATACAAAACGATCAACTTCAATGATACAGAATATACACAAGATGCTCCATTTTCTAATTACAACTGTTCTTTCATTTGAACTGGCAGAATTTGGTAACAGAAGGTCTAACAGACCAAGCAAACACGCCTGATTATTTTCTTAAGCAGGAACGCAAAGTGCCAATACTTTACAGGGAAGATCTGTACAGGAAACTCAATACCTGGTACACGTACATTTAGTACAGATACACTCATGAAACAGAATGACTTAGTCCAAAGAGCGATGCACTTTTACTCGTATGTGGGTCATACTGAACCAGTTTTGCTTAACTAACGCGTGTATGAGTGCTACGTGTAGAAAATGCGTCACAATCAGGACAACTAGACCCATTAATGTCACTGAGTGCAGACCAGAGGTTCCAGACAAAAGTTCTTATCAGACTGACATGTTTGATGTGAGACTTGTAACAAGTCCCTAACATTCGGGCAGACGGGAAACACGTCAAAACACAGAAATAATCCGTTAAACTAATTCATAGAACAAATAGGACTTGTAGTGGTCCTTTGAATAAATAAAATAAGTAGGTAGCAGGAGGTAATAAATAAAAAAAGTACGGTAGAATAGGTAGCGTCATGCAACGAAGAATATTCAGTCTACGTTGCCTCCACTATATAGATGTCATTATTCTTGAGTCTTTATCGTCACTTGAACAAGATGATACCATGTGATATTATGTACATATAATATATGTGAAAAACACAATACTAGTGATATTTACTTTTGAGTTACACTGAAGCGATACTACTACATTTGATGATACTCAACTTATTTTAATAACCGAAATATTTTATAATTTCTTCAAAATTTTCTAAAAACTTGGAAATCGGAAAGTGACTATAGCAATGAACTCTCGATGCGAGGAAAGCGTTAGGACTGCTGGTCGCATTGAAACAAGCATAAATAATGTGGGAGTATTCAGTAAGGTGAGTAATAAGCAACAAAGAATGATAAGAGAAGAAGAAAATAGATTTAGGTAGTAGACAGAGAAATGAAACGTAACATTTTTAATCAGAAGATTGGGCGGCTGAAAAATCAAGTGATTAAATTAGAAGAACCTTGAACGAAATAAAAAAAGAATAGGTAAGTAATTATTTAACGACTTACAAAAATAAAGAGAATCGACAAGAAGGTAAAAGTATGGATAAGAGTGATGCCTGACCATAAATTGTTCATAGAAGTAACAGAATTACGCTATATTTAATCCCCCCGGCCATCTTTCGCAACTTCATTGTCTGGTAACGAGACGGAAATTAGCGCAATATAATTTTTTTTCAAACAATTCCCAGACACCTACTAATAAAGAAAGCAAGTACCTACATAAAAAACTTGAGTAGAAATTTTGTTGCTTTATAGCATCGGCTTTCATGTATTTTCTGGCAAAACTGTTAAATTTCTTAAAAAGACGAGTGCAAAAACTGTGGCTTTACTGATAGCCATGAAAGGATAACGTTCTTCTTCCGCCACTAGTTGTCTTTTAGAAAGCTCTGTTCATAACAGAGCTTCTCGAGCAGAGTTTTTACACCATTCTTGCATGGTGCTATTTTTAGCAAATCTTCTTAGTAAAATTTCTCATCAGACATTTGTCAGAGTCATGCGCCTAAAAACAAACGTCAAAAAGACAGGAGACCAGACACCGAGGTGTTAACAGAGGAAATGCAATGAACATGAGTGACATAGAAAACTCTGCAAGTTTCTATTGAATCACATTAAACCTAATGCTATAATAACCCAATATAAAGTAATGAGTGTGTAATGATGTTAGCAGTTCATGGCGTGAACTCACTTGGTGCCGAGGCTGCGCGCTTTACGGTGGCCGGGAACAAACTTGCAGTGCGACTGCGTGGCGGCACACGACGACTGCGACGCGCCTGACGCCGGCGGTCTGGCGTGGCCCAGCGTCTGGCTGTGTACGGGACTGCTCACGCCACCGCATCCGCTCTGTTATGTAGCAAATGCTCAACATACGAGTGATTAATACGCATCACACATACAGTTAAACGCAATACACATATATTTAAACGCTATACACATGTATTTAAAACGAAATACAGGAGTATTTAGAACGTAAGTATTCAACAAACAAACAGTCAGAACGCAAGTATTTGAAAGGCATCACACAGGAATTTAAAACGCAACACACTTTAAAACAACGAAAGCAGTCAACACACAAGTATTCAACACACAAGCAATCAACACACAAGCAATCAACACACAAGCAATCAACACACAAGCAATCAACACACAGGTATTCAATACGCAAGCATCAACACACAACTACGTATGCTTCGAAATTACAGATAACTAGTTACTCACTAGTAAACCAGATACCGTACTAACTAGTTACTCACTAGTAAACCAGATACTAACTAGTTACTCACTAGTAAACCAGATACTGACTAGTTACTCACTAGTAAACCAGATACTAACTAGTTACTCACTAGTAAACCAGACACTAACTAGTCACTCATTAGTAAACCAGATACTAACTAGTTACTCACTACTAAACCAGATACTGACTAGTTACTCACTAGTAAACCAGATACTAACTAGTCACTCACTAGTAAACCAGATACTAACTAGTTACTCACTACCTAGTAAACCAGATACTAACTAGTTACTCACTAGTAAACCAGATACTAACTAGTTACTCACTACTAAACCAGATACTAACTAGTTACTCACTATTAAACCAGATACTGACTAGTTACTCACTAGTAAACCAGATACTAACTAGTTACTCACTAGTTAACCAGATACTGACTGTATTACTGGTAGACGAAGCAGCGCACTCGGCAGCGAGGCTGTCCTTGCTGGTGCTGTGGCTCCCCAGCGGCGTGTTGGGCTCCAGGCACACCGACAACCTGACGATGGTTCAGGCATCAAATTGTGCGCACAGAATTTGATTGATGAGGACGAGAATTTGATTCATTCGATGAATCTGGTAACTTGAGAGAATATTCGACTCACTCAATGAATTCGGATATTATGAAGCACAAAGATACTAGGGTCGGGGAGCAATGATGACAAGTTAAGTAGACTTGAATGCTTAATGCTTTTGTATATAAGCACAAGGATTGATTTGAAGTAAAATAAATTACCTGTACCGTATCGATAACTATAAAAAACTTCAATAATATGTGTTTAAAAATTACTTTTTAAAGACAACACGTCTAAAGAGGCCAGTGTCTCCGATTTTACGCATGTTTAATGAATTTCTTATTTTATTTTTATGTATATAAGTTTATAAAAAAATTATTATTTAATATAATATGCAAATTTGAAAAATTATTTATTCTGTCAAATGATTCATGCATTGTCTCCGACTTTATGCAAGTGTGCAAAATTTCAGATCGATTGGAGTGGTAGAAATGCGTTAAATATCGAATATAAGATTTGTAGCAGACAGACAGACAAGAAGAAGTGAAGTTACAGAGAAGTGTTGTAAAAATTTAATATTTTGTGCTAGCAGGCCTACCTAGCATTTATCAAAAACCACGATACATTAGAAAATCTAGATCATGATCACTTATTATGATCAAACACATGAGAAATTTCCCTTTCGATGGAGAATTTTCCAACAAAATTATATGAGGTGATAAATAAACTCTTCGTTGCGAAAATGTTCTTGCGATCTTACTTGTAGTGGTCATCCTCAACAAACTTCTGCAGCTCTTCGATGTATTTAATAGAAGAAAGATATTGCTGGACTCGTGGCAGCCGAGGCAGTCTGGAGTAATCAGACTGCTGGTAGTCTGCCAGCACTCGCAGCAAGTTGTTCATCTTGAGCTGCCGTTGTTCTGACTCCAGCCCTCCGTAGTGGGGGTGTGCCATGTCAATGTACACGATGTCCGTTAAAAATAAACCTGGGAAGACAAAAAAATCAATTTCAGGCACGTAACAAGATTACCGGTATTGGTCGTCATATAGTCAGATCAAACGTCCATGTCAATGTACACGATGTCCGTTAAAAATAAACCTGTGAAGACAAATATAATCAAGTTCATGCACGTAACAATATTATTATTGGTCGTCGTATAGTCAGATCAAATGTCCATGTCAATGTTAAAAATAAACCTGAAACAGTAAATCCAGTCAAGTTTAAGCACGTAACACTCAAATAACAGGATTATTGGTTGGGTAAAGGCTGATAAAGTGCATTTCATGGATAAATGATAGTTAGAAAATCTTCTAAGATTGCACTATTATCTGAAAATTTTCAAGCTACAAAATAAGAGAAAATAAGGATGGGAATAGAGATTCAACCATAAGGTTAATGAGCCTTTAGTAATTGCATGATAAATTATTACCATTTAATTATGTGCTTTTCCATCAAAATGAAATTACAGCAGAAACATTGTTAAAGAAATGAATGCTGGCCTAAACAAATTTTAGTTACGATCTTCCAATAAATTTATTAATTATTATTGAAGTTAGCTACAGGATAACCAAAACTGAAGTTTGCGTCTTAGCTTAAGATTTATTATCTGTTTAGTAAACGATAAACAAATGCAGTAAGACTTGCTCTCCAACTTTACAATAACAGTGTCGATTCTCAGAAACTAATTAAAAATCTGATCAATTATACTAAAACTAAACACAATAACCTGACCAATTTTAAAGAATTATAAAGTGCTACAGACCAGTTATCCATAGACAAACAGTGATAGACGGCGAAAACACTGGAACGTGTGAAAATATTCTTGTGAAAAGTTCTGAGCATGACCGTTTCTTGAGCAAGTGATATAATTGCAAGGCACGAGAATCAAGAGTAGGCCATTGAGATCTTTACCCAGGTAAGGAATCATGGGAAGCTTCAGCGTGTTGACGTGAGCTCTCAACTTCTCCCAGTTGTTCTTCTCACTGAAGAGCTCAGCCATGCGGTCGAAGTGGTTGCGGTCTTTGCGAGAGAGAGCAGCCCATGTTTTGCGTAACCTGAATGTAAAATAGCGAATCTAGAAACAACAACGCAAGCATCAATAAAATAACTAAAATCCCCGATAACTCAGAGATAAATTTAGTTCAAAATTCAACCATAACAGGATATTTAACAGCAGCAGCTTAACACGGCGTAGTCGACGACAGGTAATCCTTGCTATTTGAGAACCATATTATTCCCAACACCTTATCCCCAAAACCAGTAATCTCGAATACAGTTGATGATTTCATAACTAGAATTCCGTACTTGAAGAAAGGAGCGTTCATTCGCATTTAGCAAAGAAGCAACATGCAAATCCGCTTCTATATTAAATTAAACTATCAATTCTTTAATAAAAGTTACACTTACATAAGTAAATATGACATTAAAATTTTAAATCTATTGCTCTCCTCCATTACTCACTGTTGCAGAATTCCAACATTAATTAAAGATGAATACCGCTAACATTCCGACATGAAAGGCATCATGGATACTCGCCCAATAAGCCCCAATGTATTTTTTGATGTCGTCAATCACGCAAACTAATATATGCGACATTCGTCTTGACTTTGTCACCAGACGTAACTCGTAACTCAACTCTTCAATGTTGGGAGGCGTCCACGAGCTATACGGCTTATAATTATCTTAACTATCTATCTATCGCCGGTAACTATCTTATTAAAAGACCAATCTCATTAGAGTTTCAATCGCTGGTATTTCATAGCCCATGGTATCAGTTAATTGAAGCTTCAGATAACAGGAATAAAACGTAATTTTATTTCAGCAAGGGAGAGTTTAAAAAGAGGCATGTTTAAAATATCAGAAACAAGCGTAACAACAAAATCACGGTGAATGAACAGTTCGCTAAATCTTTCACGGCACAGCCACCAGATCTGGAAATTACAAGACCTCTCTTGAGTCGGCGAAGCCGAGCGAGTACTACCTCCCTGTAGGACTGGCAGGACACGAATTCCCAACCAACTCACAGCCGCTCAGACCTGACCTCTTACTACGTCGCTACCGCTCAAGTAAGTTCGGAGATCAATGTTACTCGGGCGACTATGCCAGACATGGCCGTACATTGTACATATATATACGCTCGGTACATGGTAACACTAAAAAGATGCACATGAGATGAATAAACAAATGCTGATTATAATGAACGATCACCATCGTTCAGAACTTCATTATAACCACGCAAAAAATATCGCAACAAGCACACCTCAGACACCACACACCAGAATAATAGATTATTAGAAATACAACAAATATGATCCCTAAAGAAAATGCAAGCAAAAATCAAACTAAAATATTCAATTAAATGGAGTAAAAATAATTCAACTCAAATCTGAAGCATAACAGGCATTAGAAATAAATCAGCTTGCTGAGAAAAAGAAGCATTTTTGACATAAGATAATAAATTCTGAATGTGTGTTAACAGTACATGATAAATTAAGAAAAAGGAACAGGTAACATCATGCAGAATTATCCATGTTCGTTATATATATATATATATACTGTAAGATATTGTGCTATCATACCACCACATTTTCACAATATGAGATTTACTTGCAGGGAAAATCTGTTTTTCCCAGCATGATGTACTGACCTGTAAATGGGAGCAGATAGTAGGGAGCTGATGACAGCAAACTGGGAGTGGTAGTTATGAAGGTAGCCAAGCCTCCGTGCCACTTTAATGAAGTGAGCCATGACTTCAGCGCGTGATTTTACTCCTCCAGCATTCAGGGTCTCATGTACAACCCAAAAACTCAACTGGAAAATTCAAATCAGAAAATAAATTCATAACAATCAGGTAATTTTAAATATTTCACATCACCTATCACACAAATGATCTCAAAACTTATTTATGTATTTCTTCTCAATTTACTAGAGCTCAGGGCAACCATCAGTAATAATCAACTTCCAGCCTCTAACACCAATCATCAACTTAAATATAGAAAAATATGTTAAAATGGAGCAAAATGAGGTACCCACATGATTAAAACGTTTAGTAAGTAGAACAACATTGGGGGCCAGTTTATGCTTATCCTTCTTTGTCCAACCACAGGTTGTTAGTTCCTCGGGGCTAATAGATCTGTAAAATAAAAACAAAATTAGTTGATTGTCACATTGAGGGATGAATTGTCAAGTTTTCAGTTAAAGTATTATAAAACTTTATAAAATTGCAAGTGGTTATCTTTAAGAGTACAGCATATATTATAGGTAATATCACTATTAAAGACCAATAAATTTGTGAAACTGTAAACTTGAACTAAATAAAAGCTGAAAATACTTACTTGAACACAGGAAAATCTCCAAGGGTGATTTGAGTGGCTATCTGATCTGGTGAGAGGCGCAGCAATTTGTTAGTGAGGTCAGTAGAGGCAGCAGCAGACGTTCCATTGGAGCTACTCTGGCAGCCTTGAATACGAGGCATAGTTCTGCAGAGATAAATTGCTTGAGGATTTTATTCAAGTAAAGAGTGAAAAAAATGACCAAATGGCATCTATGAAAACCTGGGAAATACCGGTAATGCAAGATTGATGACTAAAATTCCTAAGATAAAATTTTACATATTGTTTAACTGACATTGTTCAAAGTAAAATAATGGATCAATGACTTAGTGATGTGCTAATTGAATAATCAATTTGAGTGTACGTATAAGGAATACACTAACAATAAGTTTATTATACCTACACAGAGTGAAAATAACAATAAGTTTACCTACTTTATTATACACAGAGTGAAAATTTTAGATTTCTTATGGCAAAGCACCACTATGCAGCAGTAAATCTTGTGCATAACAATAGTTTTAGGTGAGTAAGCAATATTTTCTCAGAAATACTATTTGATGGTACATGTACATTCAAAATCAAATGGTGCACAAGATTTTTAATCCCTTAACTTTTTCACATAAGTGAGGGATTAGCCATGCATGTGATTAACTAATCAGAAACAAACCCATTATTTACCCATAGCTATGAGCCGACTTGGTGAGGTCACGACAAAGTCCTTCAGAAATGTCAGTGAGTGTTTTTTTGTATGATGATGGAGGAGTGTCAGCAATGGCAGTGCTGATAATATTGCCACCACTGTTGCCACCAACAAGGCACTTATTTCTGATGCCACCAGCATTGTGAAGACGCAAGTAGCCACTGTCTTCTGCCTCATCATCATCACTGTAGCACCACATGGCTGTAAGATAATTAGTGTCAAATTTGTAATATATTAAAAAATTCAAAACTAAGACAAACTCAATACGATACCATGCATGTTTCATATTGCGACCCAGGTCTGCATTTTTATCAACAACACATATTATCAATATTGATACTCCATAAAAATAAATAATACTTTTTCGTTTCATGATCTTTAAGTAATGACAACTGAGCATGGGATGAGTAGAGCAGAGGCAAGATTAAAGGGTAAAAAAAATTGTTAATGTTTTATCTGAACTACCTACAAGGATAAGCTGCATTCTAACCTCAAGAGAATGAAAAGCAAAGTGAGGATTTGTAAACATCAACATGAATTCACTAAAGGAACAGATTTTGGTATCCAAAAGCAAAATCCATTATAGATGAGTTTGAATAGGAAACTGCACAGTGGAATGAGAAAAAATGTACTGATACTGGATATCTTTTTCAATTTTTTAAACACAAAAAATCCAATGATGGATCATGGGGAGTTTATTATAAATACTATTTAAGATTTGATAAGAAACAGGAAATTTAATAAAATATAGCATTGTAATTGTGGTGTAATAGAAGGTACACACTTTATGCAATAGTATCTTAATAACTAATTTCACTGGAGGTCACCAGGAATCCGCTAAATCAATAATTTCTCATTGTATATTTAACTAACAATAATATGAAGCTGATGGTTTAAATTGATAATTAAAGTTAGTAAATGAATACCATAGAATAGCAGCCCAATAATAGGTAATCAAATTTAAGGTGCAAGCAAAGTATAGAAAACATGATATGAAATTAATAATATGCAATTATAACACCTTCAATATAATTTGAGCATGACTTACCAAATAAATTGAGCCTTGCCTAACTTAACTTCATCAAGACATTTGGCTTCTCTTAACATTCCTTCAATTACCGTCATTCATTGTTATTCAATTAGCTATGATACTGCCAAATAATAGAAAAGAAAAATACATATTATTGAAAGAAAAAAAAATAATGATTTATCAGTTTTCTCTCATGAGATTAAAAAAAAAAAGTTATGGATCATGACTGCAGGAATGTAATGCTGTAATAATTGGTGCACACTAAATCAAATTTTAAGCATACTAATATTGTAATAAAAAAACACCATTGTAGCTCTTAGAAGCAATACCACTCTCAAACGGGGTAAGGGATTGGAGGGGTGAACTTGGGACAGCCTCCATCATGGCATAAAATGATAAAAATGTTACAGCAGCAAAACTAATTGAAACATTGCAAAACTAAAATTAGTGGCATAAACTTAAGTTAAAAAATCATACATTTACTAGCTCTAAAAATCCCCGAAAAATTTTGCTAAAAATTATATTTTGGAAAAAGCAGGTACGGTACTTCTGCTAAGGTTTGAACTAAAAAAAATATTTGCCATTAAAAAATTGTGCTAAAAAAACTTGCAGACAAGTGTTGGCTTAAAAACTTAATTGATGAAACTTGAATACCTCAATCCAAAAACAATGGCATGTTTTTTCCATAAATGAGAAAATGCACTAAAAATGGCAGCCATTACCTCAAGAAGGGGTTTTAAGAGACACCTCCTGAGGTAATACGGACCACCCCTAAAAAAGCATTTACAACAAAACCTTGCTTAGTGAAGGCTCTGCTAAAAAAAATTGGTTAATAATTAGGACTAGAGTTTTGATTAAATTTACCAATCTCAGGGATAAAATTGAACTTAAAAAAATTAATTCACCATTGTCATCAAAAAATTTTGCATAGAATGCCATTGATTGAATTATGTACTGAGCAACATAGAATGAAAAGTAATTAACCTAAAATATAATTTATTTATCCAAAAAATATGATGGTTGTCACAAAATATTCCTTTTGGTTTCAGGTAAGCTTTTTACAATCTTTTTTTGTTATTGTGAATTAATTTAATTTACCCAATTGAAATGGTGCAAAATTACTAGCCCAGCCCTGTAAGCTTATGGAGGAAATACCATATGGCTGCTGAAATAAAGCTTGCAGTGGACAAGGTTGTTGTCAATGGCATGGAAGTTTTTTTTGGGGAGGGGGGTTAAAAGTGTTAGTTATAGAACAGAAAAAATATTTTTTGTTAATGAAAAATGGATACAGTAATATAATAAGGGAAAACAAGTATAAAATCACAGAACACATCACTAAGTCTACATCTACATCATCTCCAAATGATGAGGAGGGCTTTCATCATTTCATGTACTGTGAGTAATAACTGAGATCATGATTCAAGGGTACACTCTGCAGTCTGCAATCTGCATGCTTCAAACGTTTTAAATTAGGTTTTATTGCCAGTGTTCCAGATTACCTCCTCCCAGGAGTAATTTGTGGTGCTTTTTTGCTTCTAAAAATTTTTGAATAGCATATGGAATTTTTTGGAGATGCCATACAATACTAGCGGATGGCCTTTGCAAAGTTGCAAAGAACTTTAAAATAAGCCCAAACTTGTTTATGAACTACTTCATAGTAAGAAGTTATCAACAAAAAATGCTCAAAAGTGTACCATATTACCCTGTTTGCTGGTAGTTTACAAGTTTTCATGGTGAGATTGTGAGAACAGGCATGGAATAATCTACTTGGCAAGTTGCAACTGGATTTTTCAAGCCCTGGTTTTATGGGTTTGCCAGCCTTGTTTCTATTTCTTTGAGCCGTGAATTCCATATCTTTGCAGTGAAAAGCCATCTATGAGCCACAAACTTATTTACAAAATCCCATGAAAGTGTTATCCTTATCCCAAGACCCAAATCTCTAATTTTACCCTAAAAAACAGTCAAACCAGCATCACTAACATTTGTCTTCACTTAAATGGCAACTGAACACGTGATAATGCAGCCTGACCGCTCTGATGTGATGACGTCAGATGTGACTGCAACTATGCAATCCTGAAGGAAACGTTTAGGGTTAACCTTTTATTACGTTCTGCTTCTGCAGGTACAGGATATTTTGGCAGAGTGTTGAAGTACTGCGGATTGTGGAAGTTGAAAACTTTATTGAAACTACGGTACACGTTTGCAAAGTAAAAACTGCAATTTTTTCAATCAAACACAAATAAATCACATCAAAGCCACGAGATTTCATACCTACTGAAATCATATGATAATCATATTAGAGCCGCAATATTTCTGAAAAAAGTAGGACATTTCCAGCCCTGTGTGAGAACAGAAACAGATGTTCAATAGTCAATGGTACAGGCTAAGTCAATCATTCACTGTCATTGTGATTGGTGAACATGTTATACAAGAATCAATAAAATTAAAAGTAGAACATTCAAACAAAACAAACTTAGAAACTGTGCTTAACATAAAGCAATAAATAAAAGCATTATAAGTTTGTTTCATATTGCAGAATAATATGTAAAACAATAAAATATGGAAAATAATTTTATGAATGTGGCTCATAATATAATATAAAATTAACCAGTATAATAAATTAACCAGTACACATAGCATATTGGAAAGCAGGACCTGAAAGCTTGGAAAGGCCAGGAACTTTACACTTTCAGTCCATTATTTGCATATCCTATCCCTTTCCAGAATTCCATCTGTGATTGGTTTGTGATATTAGCCACTTTCAGCTTTCCAGCTGTGATTGGGTAATGGAATTGTAATGTTATCTGCTTTCTAGCTGTGATTGGTTGATGGAAATGCTTTCAGGCTGACGGCTGTGATTGGTTGATGGGGATGCTTTCAAGCTGTGATTGGTTCAGCAGGCTGGAATTCTAAGAATGGATTAATGGAAGTTCACTTATAAAAAAGCTTTCCACCCAAGATGAAAAGCTTTCCTTTGATACAGTGCTCTACCATGTTACTGACTAAATGACTATATATAAATGTAAAGATGGATCATAAGTGGACAAACTGTTTCAAATTTCAATAAATCAATTGTATAGTACATCAGGTTTGTTATAGAATAATTTGGATGTCTCTTGTTTGATAAATATTTTTATTTTTTTATTGGATTTTTAGAAAAATTTCCAGGCCCTTTGTTCATAATGATCAAGTTTAAGTTAAGTATTTAGTTAACCAGTACTGTAGCACATATACCATATTTGGAGGCGGGGCTCATGGACACAACCAATCACAGCTTGAAAGCATCCCCATCAACCAATCACAGCTTGAAAGCATCCCCATCAACCAATCACAGCTAGAAAGCAAAATAATTTAATAACCTTACAATTCCATTAATCAATCACAGCTTAGATGTGTATAAGAGACAGTTACATGACTGNTTCGAAACTGTACATATTTTAAAATTGAGTTGTTATGAGACCATAACTGAGAAAATGTTGCTCAATGGGTTAGTCCAGTCGTAAATGAGACTTTCGTTATTCCCTTCCTACCCCCCCTCCCCGCTGAGCCGGACCGGGCGATGCTCTTGCAAACGCATAAGTACTCACAATAATTCCCTGCCACCATGTGCCACAATGCTCAGCCTAGGTATCACTCGGACTCGGGTGGAGACGTGAAGTGAAAATGTAGTGAATGAACACAGCATGCCTCTGGTCTGGTCCCTGGAGCCTGGAGGGCAGAGGCTCTGGACCTCTGGTGAAACCCTACCGTAAGTGAACCTCTCAGCCTCAGGCTGAGAGGCTCTCAGTGCTCAGTCTCCATGATTGGCATGATAGACTGTGTCTATCAAGCTGTCTCTTATACACATCTAGATGTGTATAAGAGACAGGTGTTGGGCTCCAGGCACACCGACAACCTGACGATGGTTCAGGCATCAAATTGTGCGCACAGAATTTGATTTATCATGACGAGAATTTCATTCATTCAATGAATCTGGTTAATATGAGAGAATATTCGACTCACTCAATGAATTCGGATATTATGAAGGACAAAGATACCGGTACTAAGGTCGGGGAGTAATGAAGACAAGTTAAGTAGACTTGTAGCCTTTGTATATAAGCATATGGACTGATTTGAAGTAAAAAATAATAATTACCTTCATCGATAACTGAAATTCAACACAAACTTCAAGAAAGGTAAGAATCTGTGCTATAAAGCTCCCTAGAATTTATTAAAAACCATGACACATTGGAAAATCTCGTTCATGATCAAAAACTTCATGATGAGAAATTTCCCTATCGATGGAGAATTTCCCAACAAAATTATGTGAGGTGATAAACTCTTCATTGCGAAAATGTTCTCGCGATCTTACTTGTAGTGGTCATCCTCAACAAACTTCTGCAGCTCTTCGATGTATTTAATAGAAGAAAGATATTGCTGGACTCGTGGCAGCCGAGAAGCCGGACCGGGCGATGCTCTTGCAAACGCATAAGTACTCACAATAATTCCCTGCCACCATGTGCCACAATGCTCAGCCTAGGTATCACTCGGACTCGGGTGGAGACGTGAAGTGAAAATGTAGTGAATGAACACAGCATGCCTCTGGTCTGGTCCCTGGAGCCTGGAGGGCAGAGGCTCTGGACCTCTGGTGAAACCCTACCGTAAGTGAACCTCTCAGCCTCAGGCTGAGAGGCTCTCAGTGCTCAGTCTCCATGATTGGCATGATAGACTGTGTCTATGCAGTATCCAAGAACTCCACTTGCTATCATGCACTTAAAATCGGCTGGATCAGTCATCAGTGGCTGTGGATCTCTTCTCAGGGTTCAAAGCTTTTAAGTTTCAACTTTCAACACTGTGCTGACTTAGAGTTTAGACCCTGGTTGATCACTGATCATTTTCCCCAGAAACCAGTTGAAAGTTCGCAACTCGCAGTCTCCAAACACATCATTGCGACGCTTTACTCTAAAGGTACTACTGTACTGACTAGTGACTACTGAGTAGTGAGTACTGACTAGGCGGCCCATAGTGGCAAAGCAGAGAGTTTTTAGAATCAGTTCATTCTTAATTGCTCTATTTACTCAAGATTTAAATCAATTTCTTATGTATGATAATGCAGGTATCCAGGATACTTTACTGGTCTACATATAGGACTCAA